CCCCCCCCATTTAAATAAAATCGAGCTCACATCTTGTAGTCAGTTGGTGATGGGGGGAGGTAAATAGATTGATATTTGTCTTTCAGATTGTGTATCCACTAGTTACTATTTTTATTTCTTGTTCATTATAAAAAAAAAGTTTATCCAACTCGACTTCTCCAAACACGTTCGTGTCTGTTAATTTATTGTAAATTCATTTAAAATGAAACTAGTTTTATTTGATTAATATTTATTCATCGTGATTAAACACTATCGACTAGTTTCGATCTAATCTTGAAAGTCAAATGAAACATTTGCTTTAAACGCATAGAAAACATACATCAATTGATTCATTCGTTCAGCAGTGTCCAAGAACTGATAAATAGGAATTCCTAATCTGCCGAGGAATTGGCAGTGCCGCTGTGATAATTTCTAGAGAAAATGGAAATCAACCATTGGTTCCCTCACAGTTCCACCATTCACGAAAGTCGCGATATTACTTTTTTTTTTAAATAATCTGTGCACGGAACTATTGATTCTCATAATTTTGTAGGTGAAGATGAGTGTAAGAACAGAAATGACTGTGAATATTCCATATTTTTAACTTTAGTACGCAATGAACTGTAGGCGAACTGAGGTAGAATTCCTAATTCTCAGTCCTTGGACACTCCTCGTATTATATCAAACGCCATTTCAATTGTTTGATTTTTGCTTGAAGTAGTATTATTATTTGCTGCCGGTAATAATGATGCTTTTGTTATAAGACAAAGAACGTAGAAGAAAGTAAATTTGATAGTGGACATTGTTAATGAAAGACCTGTATTACACACACCGACACCCTCACCCTCACTCTCAAGATTTTGGCGCATTATATTAATGCGAGAAGCATGAGCATTACTAATTGCCGACAACATTTGCTTGTTGATATGTTTGCATGACAATGGAGAGGTTGAACATTGTTACTGTCATTTGATTGAAGTATATCATCGAATATTAATAATTCATCGTCAGTAGAAACTGACGAACTACAATGTGCGTTTAAATCTGTGTCAAGTTCTGTTGGACTATATTCAGTTTGAGAAATATTGAAATTGGTATTCAAATCAATAATTTCATCTGCATTGATTGATTGTTCATGTATTAACTCTATGCCATCAATAGATTCTTCTTCAACCTGAGACATAGATGTTGTTGGAGACTCGTTTATTGTTCGACGGTGACGATTGTTTTCTATAGCTCTTCTGCGTTGCAAACGTTTGCCAGTTAGTTCAAGAGCAACTTGAAAGTTTTGATACATATTTTGAATCGTTTAATACCTCAGGTGACAAATAATGAAAGCTACATAAGCGTTCAATTTAAAAAGAGATTAAAAAAGTGAAAACATCCGATTAGAGTGTGCCGTGGAAGTGGAACATGCGTTCAGTATAATCATTAGTGTAGCTATAAATACTAAAGAAAGTAATTAATTCGAATTTATTATAGTTTTATACATCGAGTATATGGTAAACTTATTATGTATTTGGTTTAATTTAATCCTGGTTCAAATTCTTTCATATTTTATATTCGTAATGTCATTGTTTTCTCTCCTATATATATTTTTCTTCATGATATTCTTTTTATTCTTTTTTGTCTGTCTTGTCGTTTACCGTTGACCGTGTGCGGTGGTCGTTTTCTATCGTATTTCGATGTTTTGCAGTTTGTGTTGTCCGAAGAAGAATAAGAAGAACATTTAATAATTGAATATCCTGCGAAGAAAAAAATCAAAATAGTAAAATTATTTCATAATACAATCTAAGAATTTTACTTCAGCAGACGGACAGTTAAATGTTCATAGATTAAAACTTATTAATTGAAAATTTTATTTCATTTTTCATATACACCCACACCCGAATAATTAATGTCAAAATATTTGATCAGTGTAATAAAGATATTCTAGAAACTAATTGGACAAAGAAGACCCAAATAAATTTATTTATATTTTTCAAAAACAAAAATGAAAAAGAAACAAAGTGGATATATTATAGTTCATCATAGTGAAACTGCGAGCACGACAGAAAGAAAAAGAATTATTGCGTAGCCGACTATTCTTGTATATTGTATCAGGAGAAAAAGAAAATCTTTCTTTTAACATATTTATAATAAACATTTTAAAAAAAAATCAACGAATACACTCATCGCTAATATATACATAAAGAAGAAGAAAAAGATTCGCTTGAAATGTATATGTATATATCTATATGATATGAAGAAACAACAGTGGCAACAAAGATGAGTAGTAAAATGATTCACAATTTTAACACGGATGGTGCTTTTTGTAAATAAGAGTCCATATGTATATCATGTGAACGAGATAAATCATCATCATCATCGTCACTTAAACCTCCACTTTGATTTGTACTATTACTTATATTGTTTGTATTTTTCGATAGTAATTGACTTCTTGTTGACGATGCTGATGACATAGTACGTTTCAGATTAAATGTATCATTTTGTGGTCGAACAGTTATGATTAAATTATGACTATTGGCTACCATCATATCCGTAACTTGATCTAATGTTTTACCGCTAACTTCAATACCGTTGACTTCAATTATTTCATCTCCAACGGATAATAAACCAGTTGATTCAGCTAAACCACCAGCTAATAGACGTGATATAAATACACCGGGAACATTCTCAACCCCATTCGGACCATATTTTATTGCTACACCATCACGAATATAGAATCCAAGTGGTTTACTCTCTTTATAACGATGCAATTTAACACGGCGATATGAAACAGGTAATATTTCAACATCAATTATTGATGATACAAGACGAAAATCTGGTTGAACTTCAATGTTGCGTTGAGGTGAATGAGTATTTTTATCTGATGATGGATGAATCAATGATGATATTTGATCAGAAATTTTTTTCCGTTTTTTCAACGAGTCTGTTGCATATTGATATGATTCGCCTAAGCATAGGAAGAAAAAATAGCATTATATCAATCCGAATAGAACCGAAAATATGTTTCATATGAGAAAAATGATAATAGCTTATGAGACTCTCAAAAAACTAGTTCTTACGTTTGTTATTTCATAGAGATTCTGAGTCATTGGCGTGAGTGAGAAAGAGAACGGAAAATAAATTTCGAAAATGAAAGAATCGTAGTATAAAAAGGAAACACATACGAGTATTTCTTCGTTTGAAGATTTCAGATTGTTGTGCAACTGCACACAATAATACTTATTTGTGAATGAAATTTAGAATACTAACACTGAGTGATTTACATAGAACATAAACTATCCTTGACCTATTAAAGCATCATCTGGAAAGATTATTCGCCATCATAAAAAATCATTCTATACGTAGAACATGTGCCGCTATACAAATTTCAGTCTGTCTCTCGATCTAATTGACATACGATTTCTTTACCTTTTCGTTGTACGAATATTCTTAATAGACCTGAATAAACACGTAACATGTGTTCAATAATAGTATCATTATTAATCGAAAGCAATTCGCCATCTTTATCAAGATACGTTATATGAAATGCAATATTTTGTAAACCATGCAAATCTTCAATTAATTTATGAAAATCATCAAATTTTATTGGATTCTTTCTGTCTAATTCGAATCGACGAAATTCAGCACCAAACTAATAAATAGAGGAAAAACAACGCGTCATTAACATAATAGAAACAAAAAATTCAAACAAAAAAATGTATACTTTGCTTTTAACTTCAAGTAACGACAACATCATCAAATCAAATAAAACCATAAAGTGACTGTGTTTGTTAACAGCGAACAAATAAATATTTGTTCTGTTTTATTATTGGTAGAGATATTGTAGAGACATATAGCGACAAATCATTCGAACACAAATCATAACGTATTGGATGAATCATTTCATCGAAGAAGAACAATATCTTAGCGTCTTTTTTTTATAGATTAATTTCTCATATTGTATCATGTCTCCTTCGGTACTTCTACCTTATATTTATGGATTAGATTTATCAAAAAATGAGTTTGGAGTAAGAAATTGAAATTTTGTTTTGTTTTTCAAACTAAATTCTACTTAAATATTTTATTTAGAATAAACAACAATTTCCAGTCTCATTACAAGAAATGTGTAATTTACGTTGGCTAGAATTAAATCGAACAAATGTTAGCCGGCTACCAGAATTTGTTGGCAAATTAAAATCGCTCGTAAAATTTAATTTCTAAATTTTTTATTAAAAGTATTCCTTTGCTTTTTTGATTCTTCTAGGAAAGATTAAGTTTAGCACATAACAATTTACCTGATGTACCGTTCTGTTTAAATGATGTAACATCATTACGTTCATTATCATTGCGAGATAATCATGTATCAAATAGTCAAATATCAGCACGTTTATTTGATATTCCTGATTTGTCAATACTGGATATAAGTCATAATAATTTACAAGCATTTCCCAAAGATATTGAAAATGCTAAAGGTCTCATTGTACTTAACCTTTCTCACAATGAGTACGTTTATTTGAGAAAAACTGAAAATTTAATCTTAAACATTGTTTCTTTCTTTTTTACAGGATTGAACAAATCCCCAATCATGTATTTCTATCACTATTTGAATTAGTTCATCTTAATCTGAGTAACAATAAAATTGGTAAGAAAATCTTTTTCTTCTATCGATAATATGTAATTTATATTAATAGACACATTACCACCACAAATGCGTCGTTTAACATCATTACAAGTATTAATATTAAATAATAATCCACTTATTCATGCTCAATTAAGGTAAAAGCAAAATATGACAATTTCAATTAATAATAAAAAATTCTTTTTTTTTCTTTTCTACAGACAGTTGTCATCGATGCATTCACTAGAAACATTACACTTAAGTAATACTAAACGAACATTAAATAATGTTCCAGCTATACTTGAACAGTTACCACATCTTTCTGGTAGGAACATTTTTCTATTATGATAGACACTTATTTTATTTGGCTTTAATTAGATCTTGATTTGTCTGCAAATGATCTTCCTGCTGTACCAGATGTTGTATATAAATTAAAAGCACTGAAACGTTTGAATTTAAATGATAATCAAATAACTGAATTAACGAGTCAATCAGGTTTGAAGAAAAACAAACAAACATTTGAATAGATGGATAACTGTTTTATGTTTCATCTATAGACTCTTGGCCTCAACTTGAAATTCTACAATTATGTCGAAACAAATTAAGAAATCTTCCTCAACAATTAATGCGTTGTACGAAACTACGACGTCTCTATTTGAATACAAATCAAATTAGTTTATATGGTTTACCAAGAGGCATATTTAATCTTGAAAAACTTGAAGTATTTAGCGCCGCGGATAATAATCTAGAAACAATACCTGATGCACTTTGTCGACTGGGAAGCTTGAAAGTATTAAACTTAAACAGAAATAAATTATTAACTTTACCGGAAGCAATTCATTTTCTTCAATTAAAAGTAGGCATTAGCTTTTAATATTCTTATTCATTCTAGTATTTAAATCATAATAGATAGGAAGAAGTTCTCATGTGTACTAGAATTTGACAAATGATTATATTTCTTTTAGGAGCTTGATGTTAGTGATAATCCTGATTTTATTATGCCACCTAAACCAAAAGAATGTCAAAAAGGTTCTGGTCCAGCTTTTTACAATATTGATTTTTCGCTGGCTAATCAATTAAAATTAGCTGGTCAAGTTGCACCAGAACAACCACCTGCTACTACAGATATTCAACAGAAACGTGCAGCACGTATTCGTCGTTTGAATAAACCTGAACAACGAAATCAAACAGGTAGTGGCGGTTCGTCGGAGACGGTTTTACGTGGCATGCGTGAAACAGCTAAACGAAAAAATGCATCAGACTCAAATACGGGTATTAATGGACATTATAATGATAATGAAGAAATAGCTGGTCGTCGTTGGGATGAACAAATTGAACGGCCACAATTAAATTATAGTGAATTTTTCGATGGTGGCATCGGTCATGTTGCTGGGATAACAAGTTGGGAAATAGAAAATTTTCTACCGAAACAATTAGAACATCAATTAAATGGAATATTTTATACAGGTGATTGTTATATTATATTGAATACAATGATTGAATTGTCGGGCAATACAGATTGGAATATTTATTTTTGGATTGGAAAAGACGCAACAGTAAAAAACTTTGACTAATCTAATTCATGAGTTTATGTTTTGTTAATTTTAGTTGGATAAACAAGCATGTGCAGCTATGCATGCTGTTAATTTGCGTAATATGCTTGGTGCATCATGTCGTACACAACGAGAAGAACAAGGCGATGAAACGGAAGAATTTTTAGCTTTATTTAATAGTCATCTACGTATTATTGATGGTGCTAGAACGGAAACAGGATTTTGGGTTGTGCGAGATGTTGTAAGTATACACTTCATTGTGAATATGCCGAAATATGAAAGTGGACGTTGTTCACGAAGGAAAAACAAATTTTTCTTTTGTTCTGATATAAAACTTGACTTATCAATGTTTTCCTAGGAACATCCAACACATTTTTATCGTGCGAGTGGCACTCAAAAACTTCATGTTGAACTTGTTCCAACCGGTGCAACATCTCTTGATTCTCGTTATGTATTTTTTCTCGATGTTGGACCACGACTTTATATCTGGAACGGAAAAAAATGTAATAGTATGACAAGAGCAAAAACAAGGTATTCAAATTAGCGATTTAGTTTCCTAATTGAAAACAATTCTTTTTTCTTTTTGTTCAGATTATTTGTAGAGAAATTAAATAAAAGCGAACGGAAAGGTCTTAGTGAACTGATACAAATCAATCAAGGAGACGAAACCGATAAATTTTGGAACGAATTAGGTGGTAAACCAAATAATTTTCAACTGGTTAATCATGTACCGGATAATTTTAATCCAGCAAAATCTATTCTTTATAAAGTTGATCTTGGACAAGAATTTATTGAATTACCTCAAGGTTAGTTAACAAAAAATATCTTTTTCTTAGGTCTATTTTTTTTCTTCATTTCTTTGTCTAGTTGAACTTGAACCAGGTGGTGTTCTTAAGAAAGAATTACTTCATACAAGAAATATTTATATTCTTGATTGTTATACTGAATTATTTGTTTGGTAAAATTAAATAAACAATATCGAAAAACCAAAATACAATTTCCCCCTTGATTGCTATTTTTAGGATTGGTAAAAAATCAGCGCGACTTGTTCGAATGGCAGCAACACGTTTGGCAGTTGAACTATTGTCGATGATTCAACGGCCAGAACATTCAGTCATTACAAAAACACTTGAAGGGTTGATTGATTCTTTTATAAGTGTTGATTTGAATATTTTTCTTCGGTTTAGAGCGGAAACTCAAGTATTTAAATCGAAATTCGATGCTTGGGATGATGTGTTAGCTGTAGATTTTACTCGTACAGCTGAAAATGTATCGAAAAAAGGTGCCAATATGAAGGTTAGTACCATGAAAAACGAATTCGATAATTTATATAAATATTTTCAATATTTAACTTGTTCAAAGATCTCGATGACATTTGTAAGTACCTAAAATAGTTTGTAGCTGAGCTACCAAACCATCGAACAATGTCTCGAGAACATAAATTTTTTTTCATAGCAGCTGCTGAATTAAGATTTTCGCGTGAAAAAAATTATCAGGAGTCTCTTTTGACTTCTTTACAAATCTTATTAGGCGCGTTCTTGCGAATAGAAACACGTAATGCATCTTTTACAGAAACCTTTTAGTTTATAATGAATAATATATAAGACTAGATGAATATCATTGCAATTTTTGATCAATTTTTACATTATATTCTAAAAAGAGAATCATTCTTTTGGAGGTTCACTGAATCTCTAGCCGTACGTTTCTGTTGTTTTAAGAAAGAAAAACTAAGATTTAATATTTATAGAAAATTCTTCAAGAAAATGAAATGAAGACAAATCTCACAGCATTATTCAAAAATCGTCCACAATGGCAAACACGTGAAGCAGCTCGTGAAGCACTTGAAGATTGGAATATATTTTTACTTCAACCATTTTCAATGTTCGTTTATGAAAATAAAAAGTTTGTTAAATTACCAGATGACGAGCGAGGTAAAAATAAAAAAATTATAATCAAGAAAAAACTCTTCATTGTTGTTTTTCTTTTCCGTCTGTTTTCAAGGACAATTTTATTCGCACGATTCATATCTATTTGTTGCTCGTTATTTATTACCAAGTGAAGATGAAAGTATGGATAATAGTGAACTTGAAGATGAAATCAAAGATTCGGATACAGAACGTATCGTTTATTTTTGGCAAGGCAGAAGTGCAAATAATACAGCTTGGTTATCATTTAATTTTACGTAAATATTCCTTTCAATCTATTCTCCTTTGTGTTTAAATATCAAGAAAAATTTTCATTTGCAGTTTTAAACAAGAATTAATTGATGTACTCGGAGATTTTGAAATCATACAATTGATACAACAACAAGAAAATCAACGATTTATGGCACATTTCAATCGAAAATTTGTTATACACAACGGAAAACGTCGTACAGCTGCGGAACGTTTGCAAATGCCTGTACAACGATTAACACAAACAGAAATGTATCATATACGATGGTGCTATTCGACGATTATGACGCGTTGTATACAAATCGAAGCTACAGCAGCAAATTTATGTTCGGAATTTTGGTAAATAGAAATGAGCATAAGATAGATATTGTTGCAATTCCTTTGAGATTAAAATGTAGAACACGATACTGCTTAAGGGCGGAATTCTTTCATGTAATCTTCTTAAACATATATTAACATGAGGCAACAGCCGTGTAGAGTCTATGATTGATGTGAGAGTTTTCTTGATAAGGACAGAACTTCGATCTGTATCTTGTATGTTAATGAACTGTTTTAGATGTCCTACAACACAAATGATCTTGTTGATTGCATACTTTTATCACTAGTGCGATTACAAAAACGATAGCGATAGTATTCATTATTAGTTAGAGAAACGTTTTGCCCATAGAGACTAACAGTAAAAACAACGGATTATTTTTTATTCTTTATGTCTTTTGAGATCATTCTCTGTTTTTAACGAGTTTCAAGACATCACACCTATGCTACTTTTAATTATTTGTTCTTATCATAAAAATAATCGGAAATTTAGACATAGTTTTATCGTCTTACAACCAATGTAATCACCAAGAATAGCATGGAGATATTGTGAGGGTCAGTGAGTGCAAATATGTCCAGATAACCATAGTGGTTATGTCGAGCATTAAATAAAATATGCTTTGTTCTGACAGCACTACTCCTATTTATAAATATACATAGACGGTTAGGCAGTAAAGTCGAAGAAGAGAATGTATCTCGTATGGAATTAGAACTTCCTGTAATCGTAACAGATGGGTGGTATTGAATTTTTTATTGCTATGATATTAGTTAACGAAATATGAATCTTAGCGAGTTGTTACATTCAAAGTCTAGTAAGAATATCTTTGTTAGGAATTAATTATGATAAGATCTTTTCAGGCACAACTGAGTTGTTGATTATCAGTTTACATTCCTCTAAAGACATTCTCATTAGTGTTACTCATGGCATCGATATATTAGACGTAATAGTTCATAGTAATCTCTATCCGAACATTGAGCTTTTTATTTTAGTTATATTGTTACTGTACCACTTGATTCGGGTGATATTATTGGAATTGTTTATGTCTGGATTGGAAACTCTGTTCATCCTGATGATGCTTTACTTGCACAAGAAATTGCCAATGAAATGTATAATGTAAGAAAAAATTGAATAAATATGATTTGTTATTATTTTTATTTGGCAGGATCTATATACGATACAAGTAATCAACGAAGGCAATGAACCTGAAAATTTCTTTTGGGTTGGTTTAGGTGATCGATTACCCTATGATCTCGTATGTTGAATCATTTTATTTCATAAAGTTTTGTTTTTACTAAATCGAATCTTTGTTTAGAAAGCGGATCATATGCGATTTATGCGTTTATTTAAATGTTCGAATGATAATGGATTTTTTGTTGTTACTGAAAAATATGCAGACTTTTGTCAAGTATATTAACGATCAAACGTTTTATTTACAAAATGTATCTTTCGATTTATTTTAGGATGACTTACTTGATGACGACTGTATGTTACTTGATACTGGAACATTTGTATTCCTATGGAAAGGACCAACAGCTAGTATTATTGAAGTAAAATTTGCAGCAAAAAGTGCTGAGGTATGTTAGATATTTACTGCGTAGACTTTTCCCTTCTTGAAAAGTAAAAACACTCGTTTTCTTCATTTCACGGATGAATCGTGATACACGAAAAAAAAAAGAGAGAATAGTAAGATGAATACTTTTATGTATGTTTGATCACATATAGCTATGAATACATCGTTTTGAGAGGGAATTTTCTTATATGCATACAGTTATCCTTGACAGTATACAATAGCATATGGCTGATCGATAGCGTTACCGTTTGTTCTATGTCAATGAGGTTATATTTCAAATGTGAGTACTTTTTTCAGCTGGATATAGAACTTGATTAGAGTGAGTTGCATGAAAAAACTTTCGCACTAACGAGGCACGGCTTATGGGTGTAAATTTTCGATTGAACTGATATTTCGCTTCTCGGTATTTCTCATGGAAATAGTCTTTCTTTATTCTTATTGGATTTTCAATACGATAAAATACTTTTCATTTTTAGCTTTACATTCAACATTTACGTACACGCGAACCTGATCGACCACGTAAATTACGTTTAACTGTAAAAAACTCTGAGCCAATTGAATTTCGTAAATGTTTTCATGCATGGTCAAAACATAAAAATCCACCTCGTGAACTTGAAAAACAAAACGCTTTTTCACTTAGTCAACAACAACAACAAAAACAAGCACCAAAAAAGCCTCACCCAACGAACATTTTTATTTAAGCTTCTTCTTTTTTATGCCAGAGAATCAAATTAGTTCTTTATATTTTTTTTTTGTTTGAAAGTAGTCGACATATCCAACAGATAAATCCCATTTTCACCCCTGTTCTCTAGTCACCCAACTTTCTTTTTGTTTTTCGATTTAATCTTTTTTTTTTCGCCTTTGTTTTACAAACTCTCCTGTCTTCCTACAAATATGCAATCAGATCAAAGAAAAACAAACTAAATCTCGATATCTTTTAACGAAGAAGACCATTATTTATTTGTTTTTATCTTTTTCTTTTCGAATGATATGCTCGTTCTGATTGTGGATTCGACAGTGTCAATTATGAAACATTGTTGCCTTGCTTAGTATTCGTCTATTTGTTTTCTTTTCATTTTTGTTTTCCTTCTTCTTCTCTTCACTTCACTTCACTATGCATATGCTTTAAATAATAATTAATAAAAACGAAGTTTTCATGGTGCTAAACATCGATTTTATTATTGCAGATAAATAATCTATATATTTTTTTAAACAAACAATGAACAACAACGGAAATACAAATGGTGGAACCAATAACAATAGCAATACGAAAAAAATGAAATTTAATTTGAATAAATCGGTTCAAGTGACGAAACTGTTTTTTCGGGAAAACCAAGCATTTCTAAAGAATGCAACCGTTTTTACCATGGTCGATACTCACAATCCAAGTAAAACAAATCAAGATAGATCATTTTTCTTTTTCTAATTTTCAAAACTGTTTACATCGACCGGATAGTATTGCGTTTTCTATGTGTATAGTCTGATTTGAGTCGGAAAGTGCAAGTTCTTCATCGACGAGATAATATTGAGTTAGAATCTATCACTTAGGGCTTGTTAGTATTGATTCCTTTAATATAATCTCATTTAATAGAAATGTACAATTCAAAATTGAGTTCACACACGAAGGGAGTCTATCTCTATGTGCAATCCTTTCAGTACGTAATTATTTAGATAGAAGTTAAAAGTTCAGTAGTCAAATCATCCGTCGAATCGTAAGACTGCCTTATTAACTCTCGAAATTTAGTCACTTTTTGAGTAGTATTCGTGCAAGACACTACTGTTCTTCATTCAGATCAAACCCGGCGTTCATCGACGTTGAGAAAATATTTTCACAGCCGTTTTTAATCTTATGCTATAAAATAAATAGCAGTTTGAAAAGTATCAATATTTTGAAACATAGAGATTTGAGTAACAGCCGGGTCGGATGCCAGGCACCCAACCCGGTCGCAGAATAATCAGCTGTACTGAAGATATTCGATGCTTGAAAGTAATATCTGCGATTCTCTTCAATATCGTATCCCTAAAAGCGAAAGTCTTGTCAAATATACCGTTCTTTTTTTTCTGCATAGATGGCACGAAAGAATCATTTTCATCTGCCGTATCGGGTACAGTAACAAAATTACACATTCATGAATGGGACATTCTATCAGAGGGGTACATAATTCATATGTGTTGCTTTTTGTTTTTAATATATTTTCTCTTCTATTCTTATAGCTCAATCATTTTGGAATATGAAGAATGTCTTCATCCGATAACATTCAAAAGTTTATGCTGTGATTGTGGTGCGGATTTAAATAAGTAAATCAAAAACAAAGAATGTCGTCTTAGAATTATTTCTTTTTCGTATAAAGGTTAAAAGATACAATGGAAATGATTGCATCAAGAACTACTGTCATCGATACATTAAGCGATGAATCTCTATTATCACCATCAACCGCGATGAGAGCAGCCACAACAATTTCGATGGAACACACTGTACCAGAACTTAAAATAACAGCAGAAGTTCGTTGTAATATTTTATTTTTCGTAAAAATCATTCATGTCCATAATTTAGATGGCAGAAAAATATAGTATTGAAGAGCGAGGTCGTCTTCTTCGTGAACGTAAACTTGATTTACTTGTTGATCTTGATCAAACACTTCTTCATACAACAAATTCAAGTCATTATTATCCCTATTCACCGGTATTTATTTCGAAAGTCAAGAAAAATTCTTTCGTTTTTCTATGTTTTATTTATTCTACTAGGATGTTATTGCTTATCAATTAAATGCTCAATCATCACAAACATTCTACACAAAATTACGTCCCGGTGTAAAAGAATTCCTCACTAATCTTTTACCCTACTATCAATTTCATATTGTTACATTCGGTGAACGTCTTTATGCGCATACAATGGCAAAATTAATCGACCCAAATAAAACATTTTTCTATCACAGAATTTTATCTCGTAACGAATGTTTTGATCCAACAAGAAAAACAGCTAATTTAAGGTATTCATAGTTTTGTAGAGAATTCGATTTTGGATTTTCTTTTGAATTTTTAGCGCCTTATTTCCTTGCGGAGATTCAATGGTTTGCATTATCGATGATCGGGAAGATGTTTGGAATTACGCAAGAAATCTCGTACATGTTAAACCTTATGTATGGTTTAAAGATGTTGGCGATATCAATGATATCAATCTTCCATCTCCAGCTATTCCAAGTGAACAATTAATTCCACCAATAAGCGAAAAAGAATTTGAAGAACAGTTAGAAAATAGCGAACATCTTGCTGATGAACGTATGGAAATGAATAGCAATGCATTAATAGAACGTACAACAGAAGAAGGTTATCAGCATGCTATAACCAGAGGTGAAAAACGAAAACTCGATACTGATAATAATACAAATGAACATACGGATTGCGAAGAAGCAAATAAAAAATTAAAAGAACAAAGTGATAATAATGATGAGTAAGTTCTTCCTGACTCGATAGATTTTTGGTCTCTAGAAGAAGTTCAGTTTCTTGTAAAAAACTCATATTGAAGGATGAAAAATGTTTTTTTTAGAGCTTTCTAAATAGAACATGATTAGAAGTCAGTCAAATTTGCATTCTTTTCTAATTTAGACAAACTAACACGACAACACTTCCAGTAAATAACGAGTCAAATATTACCGCCGACAGTGATAATTATTTATGTCAATTAGAAATAATTTTAAAACGTGTTCATACTGAATTTTACACATCCTATGACCAATGGACACAAGATAAAGCACGTGGTATGCCAGATTTAAAACACATCCTACCGGATATACGTCGACAAGTACTAGGAGCAGTTTCACTTTGTTTTTCTCATCTTATGCCACAAGGATATCCATTAGAAAAACATCGCGCAACAATACTTGCTCGAGCTATGGGCGCAACTGTTACACAAGATATAGAGATAGATGATAATGGAAATTGTTCGACCACACATGTTGTTGCGGGAAAACGAACAACTAAAGTTGATCGAGCTTTTAAATATAATATTCATGTCGTGACACCGGAATGGTTGATTGATTGTTATGAACAATGGGAAAGAAAATCAGAAGATATTTATACTTTACATTCAAATTATGACGTGAAACAATCGAGATTATTTACTAAAGACGCACCTAGGCCAGGTAATGTATTTGATGACAAAAAGAAAAATGTATTTTTTAAAAATATTATATTTATAGTATCGTATGAGCCTAACATTGTCAACGAACGAGTATCTTTAAATAGACCAAAGGTAATACATTGTTATTAGTAATTTATTTAGTAAGTTAAATAGAGAAAACAGTTTTTGTAGTGATACCATTCGTGTAAATTACGAAATAGAAAACTTCGAAAATCCTTTATTTTAGCTTCGCTGCTTTTATAATTATTATAAGAAAAAGAGGTTTTTCAGAAAATCTAAAACGATTTTAAGAATTTCTAGCTGCACATTGTGAAAACTAGATGTATTTGCATGTACAGTACAAAGCGACTTGTCAACTCTATGCCAATAGAACTATTTTATTGATATCTCATTTTTATCATAGTAGCTAGTGCTAAATGATCTTTTGTTAATATATCGTTCAGTCTTTAGAGGAAACACATAATCCAACGCGCTGTCATTGATGTGTATTTTTTAATTTTTTAGACTCAAACTCCACCTGATGATGAACCAACATCAAGTTCGACAGTTAGTAAATCTGCTAAACCACCGTTAAAACGTCCTCGTACACCAGAAATACCTCCGACCACTACTGACACAGCCAATGATGCGGTTGATGAAGACGATCAATCAGCAACAAAACGATTTAATTTCAGCATGAGCGTTGATGAGTTATCTGATATGGAAAAAGAAGTCAACGATTTTTGTAATGATGATGAAGATGATGACGACGATACTGAAACGCTAAGTCGGCCTACAAAACAACAACGAACAACGTCATTTACTCCAACGGCAACAGCAACAACAGATATTCCAAATGATGATGATAATTATGATTCGGACTCATCCAGTAGCCAAAAGCTTCGTGATCTTATACTTGGTAAAAAACCTGAAACTGATTCCGACGAAGAAAGTCTCAGTGACGATGATGCACCTCGCGGTTGGAAAGAAGGTCAAAAAGCAAGAAAAAAATGATTATAGATATTTATCATTAGTTATGTTTCTTCTTTTTTTCTCATTCATTTGCTTGTACAATGTGTAACTGAACACGTCTATATATTTTTCTCTGTCGTTGATTATTGTTGTTATTACTATTTGCCTGTGTCTTTGTGATTCGTTGAACTTTGAGAAAAACTAACAAAGAAAGATTAATCATTACTATTTTGTAACAAAATGCAACAAATGCTGATCGTGTGATTGTTTCTATGTTACCATAAAGTACAGTAAAACGAAAAAAAAAAATTTCTCCACTGTTTAATGTGTGACATTTGCCAGATTTATCAACGGTAGGACTCAATGAAAGAATATTTCATTGTGGGGTATATTAATTAAATATTAAATTGATTGTCATCAGATTCTTATAATAAATAGTGATTGATGAGATGTTTGGGGTGTGTGGGTGTGGGTAATGGATACCATGGAAGTGTGCTCAAATATAGGTGCGAGTAAGGGGTATATATGCATTCATATGTTGCATATATCGGAAAGTTAAACTAAAACTAAATATATTCCTAGATTTAGTTTTAGTTTAACTTTTTCTTTTCTTCATTTATATTCGAACTCGAATTAGACAGCTACTCTAAATATCAGATCATCAGTTTGAGAAAAGAAAAATATTCCGCAGATTCCTATTCTTGGTTATCCCAAGAGCGAGGATTTTAGCGACAAGAACATTCGGATATGAAAAAATACCTTCAGTTTTCATTGAGAATTCGATAAACTTAGTATTAATTTGACATAGTTTGCAAACAGAAGTAGACTATTCGTTGGTGAAAGCAACTAGGTGCCCATGCCATCAAAACCGTGTCACTTTTCCCGATTAATCGCGATTTTATCTGCTGTGTTGCCATAGCGACAATGGGAAAAAATCGCGATTAATCGGCAAAAGTGACGCGATTTCGATGACGTGGGTGTACATATTGTTGGACATACAATGAAATAAACAGTAAACAGTATTTATAAAAGTCGAATAATTAGAAACGAAATATTTTCAATTGTATTTTATGGCTGCAGTGATGGTTCCAAGATTTTGATAGATAGGGATGATTATAGTCGCAAAACATGTTTTCAAGCCTAATCGACTACCTCGAAACGCAGAACAAAAGAGTTCAATGAGCAACAATCTACACGAATACAGGAGAAAAAAGCAATCGCTGCATGAGATTGAATAGCGAAAGTTGTAATACTCAATAGGTGATTCTAGCTATGCTTTTTTTCGCCCGACAACACAATAGAGGGAGAGAGAAATTTTATTTTTGAGAGTGCTTCATTGTTAGTGACGTACGTGAACACCTAAAAAGAGAAGAGAGAAATGTACAATGATCGTCTGCGATGAAACATTCTATATATAACTATAAAAAGGCGAAATCATATTATCATTTGATATATTGTTTATTTGATCAAGACGATCACCTTCTTGGATGATTTAGCTGACCTCTCATTAAACGAAATATTTTCTTATCTATCTTGTGTAGATGCTTTACAGGCATTCAGCGAACTCAATATTCGTCTGACAACATTATTACTTGAGCGAGGTTTCTATCGTAATGTCAATCTATCATCTAGTCGATATTATCAATTTCAAACTCTTTTACCTTTACTACGATTAAATGAAATACATTCACTTCTCATTGATTGTTATGCATCGCCTCTTCAACTGAGTAAATGGCCTCATTTACCTCATTTGAAAACATTACGAGTAAAGTGTCTACCTGATTGCTATGATCTTTACCGTTTTATACTACAACATGCCAAATCATTGCTTCATCTTACAGTTGAATCAAGTAGTTATAGTCGTAGGGTAAGTGTGTTTAGAAATAACTTTAATAGTAAATGAATAAAATCTATAGAGCAGTCAATAGAATGTGTAGAATACAGAAATATAAATCTTTTTTTTATAATAATATTTGACATTTTATTCTTTTTTGGGCCTATCAAACGAAACTAGAAAAAAGCCTTTTCAGCACAGAGTATCTGAAAAAAGTTATTTTGAAAGAAAGAATTCATCGAAGCTGATGTTACCAAGCTGGATTTTCCATCGAAATAGATCAGATATATATTCTATGATAGAGTCGTATTGTTAATAGGTATGTTAGCGTGCAATCCCAGTTCCACATAGGCCAATCTCGAATCTCACTTTGGACTAGTTCAAAGTGAGAATTTAATACTGAGCTTGACGGATCTGAGATTGAACTGAATCCGAGATTCAATGCTGACATATGGGTAACTGGGTGAGGACTAATAACTAATATATCCTTACTTCTTTAGTATAATCTCTTTTGTACATATGCCAAAAAGCTCGGAATACCCACTATTCTCATACGTTTCTTTTCATGGTGAATTTCTATTATCAGAAGTTTAGATAAGCGAAGGAAAAGTTCAACTCTCAATTACCATATAGTATACATTCTTTGCATCTTCATTTATTTCACATAGGTTGGCTGGACAAAATAATATGATATTGTGCCTTGGAGTTTAAATACTTTCGAGGATTTCATGAAGAAAGTTGTTCAACGTCTACCGGCTCTTCGTTCGCTTGACTTCGGAATGGAATCATCTTTTTCTCTACACTGTTGGCATTTAGAAATAATACGAACACCTCTGATATACCTTCGTATTACATTAGCAACAATAGACATTATAATTGCTCTTATGCTAACGCACCCGTTACGACATACATAGCAGCAATTCCACATAAAAATAGATGATGCACACGCTATTTCACATTTTGATATATCTGATACAAAACTTTTACCTGCAAAGGAAGCCTTGCATACATTTACTTTTGTTAAGTCATTTAAATGGCATTTCACAGAAGAATGGATATTTCTTGATAATTTGACTTCTTCTAATGTTATGCCTATTTTACGACGAATGAATTTTGCAATTGTTATTAATGCTGATAATCTGAATCAAATGAATCACTCAGCACTTTTCACTGATTATCGTCATGTTGATGTCCATTATGCATTTATTCTTGATGACAATCGATCGCATAGTGAACTTAGTGAATATGTACCACGCGGTAGTCAGTCTCATTCACACGAAATAGATAGTGCAACATTTACTTCTGACTGTTGGCCTGATAATAATCTATTCGAAACTCCTGGCGACTATTATGTAAATTATCACCTTTTACATAACTTTTATCGATCATTAAACTGTTGTTTCATTGGATCTAATTGTTTTTTCATTTTTAGTGCAAAAAACTGAAAAGTCGGCAACATCATCTATTTTACACTTTGCCATGGGTCTTTAATGAATTTTTTCAATTATGTGTTCCAGATAGATGTATTAATGAATTGCAATTTAAATCATCTTCTCCGGCTAATACAATTGGTTCTGCTAGTCTTGTTAAATTGAATATATCAGACAATATTCCACCATCTGCTACTCTTCGTTCTCATATAATGTCTGTGAATCAAATAGTTGAAGTTCATTTATTTCGATGTGATAAAGAAGTTTATTTTAATTTTCCGATGGCTACTCATCTTACTCTTATCGATAGTCTTGATGCATTGAACAGTTGGGCATTTGCACCAAATATTCGATCTCTTCAAATTATTCTTCATTATCAATGCCTTAATTTTACAGGTGATGATTGGACCATGTTGAGTACACTCTCATGTTTACCGCAGTTAAAATCTTTACGTATGATTTTGTATGATATGGGTAATCCGCCAAATGGTATAAGTTCTTCAATCATTGTAGCGGCAGCATTGAGAGTCATTGACTTTGGCTTTTGCTTTCGACGTGGTTATGATAATCCTGATTATGACGTTGATTCGGTTTATCAGATCCACGCTGTATTTATCAGATGTCTACGAAATCGCATTATCGAGTTGTCACTAAATCAAGAGTTGTCTATTGCTATCGATGATGATGGTTGTGGAATGTTCATATGGCTTTGATTAATAAATTTAAAAAAATTATTTTGATTAGTTATCACTATTATATTACATGATCTGGTATCAACTTCAGTCCTATTAACAATTATAAATCGTTTATATGTTAAAAAACTGTTCATTATAGAAATGTGACATTCAACTTTTTCTGCTAAGTCTTCCTTTGAAAGTTTGCATCTGAAATGATAATAGAATCTATAAAAGAAACGTGAACAAAATGTTAATAAAATAATGTAGTTTAAAACAATTAGATCATATTATCATTCAAGATAGTGATGAAATAAAAACGGATTCCTGAAATAACTACAAAGAATTAAATTGAGTCTTACTCGTAAATGTTCTGGCTGTTTTTTTGTATCGAGTGATTATGGAAGTAAAGTCGAATATTTTTATAGCACTCAATACGTTATCAACATTAGTAAAAATTATTAATGAAATTTTAATGTGTAGATGCTACTTTTCATAGAGAAATAATTACTTCAAAATATATGATCAATTGCATAGTAAGCAACTACTTTTAAAAGGCAAAAGACTTAAATTTTGTATTCTCTCAGAGGATGACGAATTTTTTTACGGATTCTCACGTATTGGTGATTGTAATCGACGAATATCCAATGCATTATAATGTCTAAATAAAAAGAATAAATGTCTTTTGATCGTGAAAAATTTAAGCAATTGATCTCCAAAGTTATTTATTGTGAAATGATTGACGAAAAGTTACGTCCCTATAATCCATAGATGGTGTGCCTTCAGTACATGGGCGGCGCAAGCGAAAGTTTCTAGGGGTAGCAATAAGTTTATTAAACCGATAATGTTTAATCAATTTTCTATGTGCCAAAGAAATAGTTTTGCATCAAATAGCAAACAATAAAAGCAAACCTTTTTACAGAAATNCTATAAAAGAAACGTGAACAAAATGTTAATAAAATAATGTAGTTTAAAACAATTAGATCATATTTATCATTCAAGATAACGTTTAAATAAAAACGGATTCCTGAAATAACTACAAAGAATTAAATTGAGTCTTACTCGTAAATTGTTCTGGCTGTTTTTTTTATCGAGTGATTATAGAAGTAAAGTCTAATATTTTTATAGCACTCAATACGTTATCAACATTAGTAAAAATTATTAAAGAGATTTTAATGTGTAGATGTTACTTTTCATAGAGAAATAATTACTTCAAAGTATATAATCAATTGTATGGTAAGCAACTACTTTTAAAAGGCAAAAGGCTTAAATTTTGTATTCTCTCAGAGGATGACGAATTTTTTTACGGATTCTCACGTATTGGTGATTGTAATCGACGAATATACGATGTATTATAATGTCTAAATAAAAAGAATAAATGTCTTTTGATCGTGAAAAATTTAAGCAATTGATCTCCAAAGCTATTTATTGTGAAATGATTGATGAAAAGTTACATCCCTATGATTCATAGATGGTGTGCCGTCAGCAGATAATAGATTTATCTAAGAGCGTAATTCGCTCGTAAAACTATGAAATAATATTGGTCTCATTTCATCAATATGATCCCAATAATTTTGAAAAGTTCTAGATGTTGTCTCATTGTCACAATATACGACATCGGAAAATGTCAAGCCAAGTATGAAATAAACTTTCTTGTGCATAGCAACATCTCATGACCAAGGGAAAGATTTCTTAAAACAACAGTTTAATTTGTACCGATATCGTCAACTAGATTCAAACACAAAATCATAACAAATATTCGTTTAGCACACTAAATACAAGAAAATGACATTTGAACTTGCTGTACATCACCAAAGAAAGAATAGATTGAGATCGTCCAAAAAATGTTTGAACAGCATTACTATCACGCTTTTTGTTCTACATTGTCCTTCTCTTTCTGCTATTTGTTTTGCCTTACGTGAATAAGCTCTTTTCTCATTTTATTTTATGCAATTATATTTGCTCATGTACTAATTGGTTTGCTGATAATCATGAATTGGATGATCGAATGTATCCAGTTTTGGTGATCATTACGCGTCAAATAAATTTACTGATCAAAAATATTTGTATCAAAATAGAAAATACTGTTATATTGTAATGCAACCTATTTTATTTATTTAAAATCTTTTTTCATTTAAAATGAATTTTATTTTCATCTTGAAAATTTTGTTTTCTTTAAATAATTCAGATTGAATAAAAAGAGTGATATAAGAACCATTCCACATAATCCACAATCGATGTCCACAGAAGTTGCTCACTCGATGACTGCAGATTTGCTTAGTTTTTACAGAAATGAAACTGTATTGAGTTGAAATCTCATTCACTCTTACATCTTTGCCTTCGCTCCTCATTTTTGTTTTTCGAACTCTTTTACTTAAAACCACAGTTAGGATTATTAGGTTGGTATTCAAGAAACTAAAATCATTGGGATCGGAACCATGAGTAGATCGAATTCACCAAAACTACAACAGGGACCAGATCGTGAACAAAACTAAAAAAACTTTGTGCTGTGCATCTTTAGGAATGACTGATAAATAATAAACGAACAAATAAAAAATATAGATGCTCATAATTCTTTTCACAAAAAAAAACAACAACAACAGTTCGCACTGAATGAGGTGGTCTATGAAGTCTGTTCCACAATCTTTATTAGGTATAAAAGTATGAAATAACATCAGTAATAAGAGATCTCACATCTGGCAAATATTTTCAAATGCAATGATTATTTTATCTATTATATGTCGTTCATAGCTCATTGTTCTTATTATATGATCCGTAGACTCAAATAATAGGGTGTAGCAACAAGAATTTACTTGTGCCTGCTTGCTGTCTCTAGATTTGTAACATGGTTATAATGCCCATCTGATAACTTTGAGGCAAACGACCGTGAAGAAGATTATAAAATCGAATAAACTATAGGCATTAATTAAAGAGCAATATCAGTTGCTTGTTTATTTTTAATTTTTGTATATATATTTATCGCATAACAAACTAAGTAATTGATTCTTTTATAAGTAGTGTATTAAAAACCAGAATGTCTGATTGTCATGCTCTGCATCACATCTTAATAAGATGATCTTATTAAAATAATATATTTTTCCATAACAATCGTTTTGTTTTTGGCAGTCGAATAAGAAAAGAATGTCTTCGACTTACACAACTCAGTTGAAATTATATTCATTTTTTATTGTTTTTATTTAACGAGTTTTTTCAGTAAATATGGCAAGAATTATAATAAAGCAAGAATCTTGTCAGAAAGACAAGATATGTTTTTTCATGTCAGATCTTGTACAGAAGGAATGACAAAAGAATCTGGAGAGATCGAAGTCAAGATCGTTGACTAGTGTGGGTTAAACTAAGGCAATATTCGAGTATTTCTAGTCTCCATTCACTGTCTGGCACATCTTACGTTAGATGTATTGGGTTAACTTTATATGTTTGTGTGTGCATGTTTCATATTCTAAATCAGAAACTGATTACAAAAAGTACCGACTACACAAATGTAGTAATCAACGAGACCGTAATAATTCTACGGCTAAAAATCATTTTTTTTTATAAAATATAATTTAATTTATTTTGATGATGACGATTTAGAAATAGGAAAACCAGAACAAATAACAGGACTTTGAGCACCATGTTCTAAACAACATTGTTTTAGTTTGTTCAAGACTTTTTCACATTTATCAGGATTGTATGTATTTTCTAGAAAATTGTTTTTGATTAAAATTAAATCTTTAATATTTTAGTTTGCTTACTGTGCAGACAGCTCTGTAATGCACAAGCAAAACTTTGACAAAATTCTGATTGCCCACTATTGTCGTTTGACATAATCGGAGTGCGAAATGTGAAATGATGTTTATGTATCGATGAGAATTACAAATCAAAGCTCTCATTGGTGAAAACCATTTCAAAAAATGCTTCAACAGATGGCTCTGTATCTTTTGAATGATAGAATTACCTAAAAAAAGTGATATATGTGCTTATCTTTTGTTCATATATTCGAAATCTTCTTATCAATAAAATAACTAATGAGAACAATTTATGTTCTTCTTTTTATTGCAGCTCTATGAATATTTCAAATGCCATACTCGAACGTTGAAATTAACTTTCATTTTTATGTGTAAATAGAATAATTTCTGATTAAAATACTCTCTTTAATCAAGTCCCATGTTCGATAACTGTCAAGTGTTGCTACTTGTCCTCGAGTAACTATAAAAGAAAATATCATTGTTATTGAAGTCGGTCGTTTTTTGATTTTTTTCTTTTGCATTTCTACTTTTCTTTTATTAATTGTCAATCTTTAGTTGAAAATGGTTAACAGTCGAACGGCTTCGTAATCGACGATTTTCTTTTTTCCTTCCAATACGTTAGAAGTCTGTTCGTCGACACTTGTCACTCACGATTAAGTGCTATAGAATTATAAGTTTTTTAGTAAAAAAATAACTCGAGTACTATTTTTCATCAATAAAAGAAAAATATCATCACTGAGACGTGCCGTTAGTGTAATCAAGAAAAGAAATGAAATGAAATAAACGTTTAATGCTCGTCATTTATTTCTACTGGCAAAAATAGAAGAAGAAGAAGCATGACGACAGCATTAATTATTGAACGTAAGAGTACTCACAGCTGTTTATTCCCATTTCAAGAAACACAATCACTACCCAAGAGAAAATCTTATTACAGATTTTATCAACTTAAATTACGGCAATTATTAGCAGAAAATCAAAGCGATGAAGAAAAGAATGAGAAATATTTAAAACAAAACCAACCAAAAGCGCCATTAAGCCCTAGACGATCGAATAGAGACTACACAAGTCATATTACAGAAGCGATGAAAATACAATCACAAAATATTAATCTAGGAACAAGATCGAGCAGTCTTTTATCTCTTCGTCAACAACGTAAAAAAGATACGATTACATGTACGATTACATCAACGAATACTACAACAACAGAACTTCGTCCAAAATCTATTTTAAAGACGAATCAATCACCATCGTAAGTAGTCTTTGAACAAAATGAAAAATGAGTAGTGACTACGACACTTGATGTTTTGTTAGAAGAAAAATTTAATTGGGTTTGTCGTGAAAAAAGGTGCGAAGACATATTCATCAGTCTTTCGAATTTTTGTTTTGTTTTGTTTTGCAGCGTCGTAGTAAATTTGTACAGGAGCCAAGTTGTGAAACAGTTTGTACTTTTCTTTAATAATAATAAAAAAATAAGATCAACATAAATCGAGTATGTCACAATGACACTCTCTCCTACCTCGTCATCAACACTTTGGCATTTTCTGCCAAATCTTTAATCCCTTCTACGCCTGAAAAGATATCGACACCTTGGAGTTCTACGAGTAAATGATAGACCGTGACAAACATTGATCTCTAACGTCTCGTTACAATATTTGAACAACTTCATTATTACATTTGTAGAGGATTAAGCAAAACAATAGTATATCTCAACATCAAGCTGTACCTAATTACTAAGAACAAGTGCATTTTTATATGTTGAGAAAAAAACAAAGGAATTTTCTAATTTTATTTCCATATTCAGATCAGTACAACGTCAACGTACATTAAGTGCGTCACCTAAGAAACCAAAAACTCCTCATAAAAAAGTAGGGACGACAACTGCTACAAACGAAATGGATCATACCGATGAAGATGTTGATGATGATCATTTGTCAAAATCGAATGCACGTGCATATACTGAAGTATCATCGTCAACATCTCAAAATGTTACTAACAGCACTGATCAAAATGCTCAACAATCAGTACTTAAAACAATGCTGTTACATTTTAATTCAAATACACCATCGGAAATGCCGAAATGGAATTTATATCGTGATTTTAATGAGAAATTTTGTGCTAGTATATCTCCAACAGTATATCGAAATTTTGAACGCATTATTCTTTGAACAATACCTATTGTAGTGTTTGTTTTCTTATAGAGACTAAAGTTTCAGTTTTTGTAATTGTGCTCAATAGAAACTCTATAGTGTTTAAATAAATGATGTCATTTTCAAAGCTTAATAGACCTATTCTTTACTTCATATTAACTTCAGATATTTAACGCGATTGATTACATAAAATTAAGATACTTGAGTTGATCCCTCTTGTTTTATTTTAAGCATGTAAGTACACACAGACAGAAGCGAACGAAACAAAGAAAATGTTTGTCAACTTCTTGATGATGATCGATGATCGATGTCTCTTCTTGTTCTTTTTATATTTGTATGCGAGTTAAATCGATATAGTTACAACTATATTTATGCAACATATCATAGAATTTCTGTTATTTTTCTGTTCATAAAATGCCACTATCGACCATCGTTGTCGTGCAAAGTCTATTTCTTATGATAATTCTCATTCATGGCGAAGACTCATTTGATTGCACGGGTTATGAAGATGATTCATATCATCCGATATATGATGCTGATGATTGTCGCCGTTATTGGCATTGCATTTATGTCGATACTGTTTATATGCATGCAGTTAAACGTGTTTGTCCAGCGGGAACTGAATTTGATGCAACATTAAAAAAATGTGAAACGTCTGGTCAAGTAAGTATTCTGACGTTAGTTTTGGTACGGAGATTTTTCATAGATTTTTCTCTAGGTGGATTGTGTACCACTTAAATCTCCACGTGGATCAAGAATGACGACGACTACAAAAGCATGGAAATGGAAATATTCAAGATTATTTTCACAAAAATATCGGAGAACAACAACACCATATTTTATAACAACAAGAAAACGTCGTATATTTGATGTAGGAGATTCTGTTGAGGAAGATATTACAACAGTGTTAATACCAGAAGTCGAAACAACAGAACCAATGCAAGTATTACCATTTACTCAACCTCCGACGGCATCGACAAATGTGTTTTTTCTTGAAAAAGTTAGTAATATGTTAATATATGTATTTTAAAAAAAAAAGAAAAATTTTCCTTCTTTTTTCATTCATATTCAAGCTTTCAAAAGATCTCCATGCTCTACTATCAAACCGTCGATCCTACAAAAGTCGAGCTGGAACAGCTCAACTTTTCCAACCAGGTGAACCAGAAAATGAAGCAATCATTTACACGACAACAACAGCAAGACAACGTATCAGACGAACACGATCAACTACTCAATCGACTTCAATTCAAATGACAACACAATCGCCATTAACGACTTTCTTTATTACAGCCGAACCAACGACAATTACCATAACGACTGCACCGATCATACTTCATACAACGATACCAACAACAACAGCGACTACTACTAATTCTTCTGCTACTTTAACATCAGAAACTACAACCAAAACTCAATCGGACACAACAATAAATATCAGTCCACACTTCCGTATGAACGGTAAAAGTCGACGTAATAATATGACGTTATATATTTTAACAAGTGATGATCATAAAATTCGACGATTTTCAATTAATCATACACGTGGATTTTTACTTAATTGTAATCAATTACGACGTCGTCTTCTTGGCCGTCGTCGTTTACGCGATATATTTCAAGCAAACTCGACTTACTCGCCAATAATGAGATATACCTCAACTTCATCAAGACAAACATTTCATCATAGTATATTGTCATTAACAATGATATTTTTGTTTTTTTTTACAAAAATAATTATAATTACGTAGATATTGTATTCCCCCCCGAAAAAAATTGAAAAAAAATGAGTATAAAATGTATATATTTGTTTTTGTTTTTTTTTCACGAATTAATTATCGATTGTAGACAAATGATACTAGATAAAAACAAAAAAAATTATTATTATTATTAATAAAATAATATAGATTTAAACCTTTGTTATGATGCTCGAACTTGAATTGTTGGTTGCTTGATTGTCTGAGCTTCATGCGGACAACTCAATGTTTCTGACCTATGAAGAAATTTTCTTTTTCAATCAATCGAAATTCACAACAAGAGAAACATTTCATGTTTTTGTGGAAGATTCTTACCGACTTAAATTCCAGACCTGATGTTTAATAAGTTGTTTTTCACATATTTCACATGGAAGACGTTGATGTGTACGAGTACGACCTAGTTTTCGTGTTCCTGAACTTGTACGAACAGGTGGTGGTACGGGTGGTTGTTTGAAGACTGCTTTTGGTTTTGTTGGAATGTCATAACCCATAACAGGTTGATTTAAAACGTCCTGTAAAATTTTCATTGCTGATTCACGTTCTGAACAATAACAACAAAAAAAATAGAATGATTGATAAGTCCGATGCCGTTGTTGAAAATCCTTTCATTACCTCGATTCGTAGCATTTCGGACCCAAGAACCAAAATCATTACCTCGTATTAAATTAGCATTTGGTGTTGTTGATCGTTGTTGATTACGATAAGCAATCTGTTTAAAAATCAAATAAAGCTTTTTGATTAAATAAATTCACCTTACAAATGAATCATTTTTATAGTCCGTTGGCATCGCTGGAAGACGATAAACACAATTTTCAGGTTTCTTTTCATCATTTGTATTGAAATTTCTAAAATACTGTTCCTGTGCTCTATTTGCAGCTTCAACTGCTTCGACGTAGTCATTGGGATAACTATCGACATCAACTGGTTGTAGCATGATTGTTGACATTTCATGTTCGTCTGTTTTCGGTTCTTCATTATTATTATTATTATTATCATTATTATTATTATTATTAGTCCATGCATCGTCTTTGACTGGTTCGGTTTCAATCGGCGGTAATTGTTCGTCTTTAGTTTCAACGACAACCAATGGTGTTATTGGTTTCGGAGTATCATGACTTTGAATTGGACATGTTTGCGGACGTATTGGAAAATTATCCAATGAAGGATTATACCGATGTTTATCGATACGATTACGTGCAGCACGTAAATCAGCTGGTGTTTGAGGAAGATTGAAATCGAATAAGTGTCGTTGTTCGGCAGCATTTTGTTGATGTGAACGTTGTGTAACAGAAGATTCTGAACGTTGAAGTTGCTGACTTGGCTGTTGTTGTTGCTGCTGCTGCTCAGCAGATAAATTTGATTCGGATGTTGGTCGAGCAAGTGTTGAAGGAATTTTTAATTGTCCCAAACGTTGTTTGACATCAACTAGATATTGAGGTGTTTTAGGATTTGGATAGGTCAGCCAGTGACGGCTATTATCATTATTGGCATCGATTGTAACCTTTTCTTTTTCTTCCTTTGAAGCTCGCCGAATTTCGAGTGATGTTGCTGGACGAACTGTTTCTACAAAAATATCAGTTAGAAGAACGTCACTTTCGATCATCTTGCCTATTTACTACGGTTTCTCTCGATATGTTATTATTATTATTTTTCAGTAAAGATTCAACGAGAAAAATTCTTCCTCCTTTATCATCTTAATGATTCTTTCGTTGTTAATTTATTTATGAATTTTAGTCTCCTCAGTTATTTGTTTTTTTTTGCTTGACTGAATATTTAGTTAAGGTTATAAGATGATAAAAAAATATTTTCTCGTTGATTGAAACTTAAGAGTATAAGTAAATGCTGAGAGAAAATGCAGAATGAAGAAGTGGTTGTACTTGAAAATTTTGTTTTTTTTTGTTGCTATTTAATCACTAACATTTTTTTGCTCAAAAATTAGTATTTTTTTTTCAATCGCTAATTAAATGATTGTAAGGTAAACTTGAGTTTGTAACTCAACGAAACGAAACATGAGTTTTCATTTTCAATGTCCTGTAATAGAAATTCTTTTTGAGTACACAAAAGAAAAAACCTTTTTACCTTCGACAGCTGGCGGAGCTGTTGGGGGACGCTGCGAGGCTCTTGAGCCACAGGTGGCTTCCTGTAAGAGAGAAAAAAGACACAATACTTTTATATTCAAAATTATCTATCTAGTGAATAGACGAACTCTGTTTGTTGAAGCAGTTCGTTGTTTAAGTTCAGCATTAGAAACTTGAGTTTCTTCAATAAAAGCAGGTGCTGATTTTGATGATAAGCATCTATTCAACCGAGGTGCTGCATCTCGATTTTCCTCAATTTTTTTCGCTGAAATAACTCGTTGAAATGTTTGCTCTCCTGCTGTTGTTGTCGATGGCAAAGAAGTATTTATTTGCTGTTGTTGTTGTTGCTGCTTCTTTCGTAGTTGTCTTTGATACTGTTGTCCATAGGATGAAGTCTTTTTATCTTTACTAGTCGATCGATGTTTTCTCCATTTAAACGTATCGGCATATGTTGTATTTGATGATTTCCATCCAAGTGGATCATGTAATAATGGTTGAAAGATTACAGACGACATATTTGTACGTCTATTGAAAAATTGACAAAGTGAAGAAAAACTGAAATTCTATAATAAAGAATGAGAAAAAGAGATCGGACAAAATATACAAACGAGAAAAAAAACGAAAAAATGAGAAACACAGACACAGACACACACACGCACACACACATGCATGCATGCGAATTTCAAGTTGGTTACCGATGATGTCGGTCGTTATGGATTGGTTTGATGACAATGTTACTTTTCAACACCCTCAAACGTTTCTACTTCGTTCGTTACTCTTTCCTTTCTGTTAATTGAAAGAGAATTACAATAACAGTAACTGTAGAAGTAACAGACGAAGCATTACTATCAACATTTGAAAGACAACCAAAGAACGCTTTTGTAGGAGAGCCGATTTTCTTTCTTTCTAAATTGACTCTTTATTTTTTGGTGAGGCGATAATGTAGTTGTCTTTAGCTTTTGTTTTTCTAACAAGCAAGTAACCAAACAATGGCAACAAACAAAACTATAATATACGAAATGTAATAAACCTATTGAATTTCATATTTAGAGTAAATCTATTTCTTAGATTTACTAAGATCTCTATTTCTTAATACTATTTTAATATAATATGACAATAAGATATTTTATTTCTATATTTAAGTTCAAAAATGCACCTTCTCACTATTAAATTATGTGATATTGTTGTCTTTTCAATAAGAAATATATAGTTCAAGTTACTCGAATATAAAAAAAAGCAATATTCTTCGTTCTCTCTATAAAGCTTCATCTATGTACATGAGCAAATATTGAAGACCCGCAAATTACTCTATTGACCTATAAATTACGTTGAAAAGAAAAGAATATTGAGTAGTATATCATTCTTCAACTTCGCATGAAAAGCTTCGAGATATTCTTTATCGTAGAAAATCAAGGTCATCAATCAAATAAAAAAATATTCAAGCTCGAATAGATTGAAAAGAAAAAAATTTGTCGTCCATTTATTTATTGAATAAACATTTAATATTTATCAAAAAACTAAAAAACACAGCCTATTGTTATTTTTTTAGCATTCGCTTCGATGCCATTGATGAATATTCGAATAGAATCGATGTTCATTTTGATCTTGCATATTCATTCTCATACATAATTCACACATACGTACTGGCTCAAGATCATTTGTTTCATAGAAAATTTCATATTGATTTCTCCATTGAAAATAATCGCGATAGAGAAAATAATCATTTACAATATTATGCAAATATTTGCCTAACTGTTTAGGTGAGCTAAAATCTTCAACATGAATAAACGCTGATTTAGGTACACCCAAATCTAAATAGGATTGTTTTCGTGGTCCAAACACAATTGGAATCATTCCGTAATGAAGCGCACGCCAAAATTTTTCAGTTATATAATCTGTACATGTTTGAGATTCAAATGCCAGATAAAAGAATGCTAATCGAAATTGATCATTTTCGCATTGATCATTTTTATTGCACGTCTTTTTTACGTTATTTATACATGATCCATAAGCATCTACGGGAAAGTATCTTTGTAATTGTTCATAATAATTGAGTCGTTGTTTTGGTTCACAATTCGATACAAACCATAATGCATGTTTCGAACGATAACGATAATTAGTTAGAATATAATTTTCTAATGTTATATCACTTAATAAAATACTATGATTCTGTAAAATATAAAGAAAATCTGATGAAAACATAATTGCATCTGAGTTATTATTGGCATGAATATAGTTATTATTGTCACTTTCAATTATTAAACCATATGTTCCTATGGATATTTCGGAGTCTTGTCGAAAACTTAACGTCCAATTGAATTTATATTCATTTAAATGTTCTATTTGACGATTCGCTTCATCGACCCATAATATCCAAATATCATGATGAGAACGATATTTTTGTTTTTCATGAATATCTTCAGGTTTAATATCAACATGATGAAAAATATTAGCTCGACGAATATTTTCATGATTCATCGGTGATTTATCACAACTCCATATGCAGTTCTTATAAGGACATTGCGGATGAAATATATGTTTTGACGAGCAAAATTTTGGCCGTTCAAAAACCTGACGATGAAATAGAAGTCAATATATTTAGCTACGAAAAACAAAACAAAATTCTATTTCTTACCGGAGTTTCTTCGAAGATTTCAAATGTTGTTTGCAGAAAATTTTGTCTATTTTCTATCGTACGATATTTATATGAAGTTTTCATATCTCTTTGATCAAGTCTGGCGAGTTTTCTTCTGTAAATATTAAAAAATATATTTGTCCAATTCGGTTCAATTTTCATTCTTTGTTGTTCTATCGATTCAAGTTGTTTCACGCGTTGTTCATCTGTTAACAATTGATCTTGTTCATATAACTGTTGCCAAAATGATATTTCCATCGGACTTTTTTTCGACGAATTATCATTGTAGAAGAGAAATATTTTAATTTCCAATAAAAATAATAATATTATCAATAGAAAACAACATCGTACAAGTACGAAACGTAAACGTGATATACGTAAATACATTTAATAGTGTCGTATTAAACACGACAATACTATTGAATCAATATAGATATTTAGAACGGATCTTCTTCGGCGCTTCATCAGCTACTATGTCTAGAATATAGAGAATAAAAAATAGATGTCTCGAAAGAAAAAGTCAATCCATTCGCGGTTGAAGTAATGCTTAACATTTTCGGAGTATTCTGCATTGATATCATCAGAGATATTAGAAAGTCAATCAATAAATAGTTATTTCTTTTAGCGCGTTTAGTTTGCGCGATGTTCAAGTCGTAAACAATAATAGCGACATAAATCAATCTTAGCTGTCAACACACCGCCATATTTAGCTTGTAACAGTTGTCGAACAACTCGATAGAATAAAAAGTGTGTTACGATCTTATTTCTTGTGTTTCTGTTATTATTATACTTATTATCAATATTATAAAACTAAATTGTAGGCAGCAGACAAACAGAAAATACGATTAGCATTAGCCATCTAATTTTCATTAGCACTGAAGAAAGATTAGAAAAAGTAGCTTACCAATCATTCATACGTACTATTGTCTTTTTGTATCTTCTCGTTACTCTACTTCCTTCTGGTAGAAAACAAAAAATAGAAAGAAATCATTTCTATGTGTCTAGAGCTTATGCTATTCTTGCAAGATGGCATGCCATTGACTCGCTTGCATGAATGTAAAGAATCATTAATGGGAATAGTGAAAACAGCACGTAAAAGAATTTTTTCTCTCGTAATAACGATGATGATCATGATCATTAGATCTTGATTATGAGATGATGCTCACACTTTTTCAATTCTATTCTTTCTTTTTTGTTTCTTCTCTGCTTGGAAAAGAGCAGCATAAATAGAATGGAATAAGAACAACGTGCTATCTGTCGGTTCGGAACGATCCTGCTCTTTTTTCTCTTGCATGCTTCCTTTCGCTGATAATGTTTTGTTGTTCTTTGGAGAGCGAAAGCGATTGAAGACGGACACAGATGCACACACAAGATGTCATAGGAAGAAGAACAACTACTATATCTCTATTTCTGCATAAAGACTATCGAACGATGCGGAGAACGAAAGAGAAAAAATGGCCGATGCGAGAAGAAAAAAAGCAAATGAGTTAGAATTACGCTGACTTGTCATATCAAACTAAAATGAATAATGATGATGATCGACAAATTGTTCTAGTAACACAATACAACAGTAAAAATAAAAATAAATCCTTCTATGTTAATCATTTCGAAATAGTCGATAATTTTCTCAGTAAATCATTTCTCGAATGATGCCTATTCATCATAACTTGGGCACAGTCACTTCTTATGATTAGAGAAGAAAAAGAGCTAATGCATTCTTTTGCAATTGCTATTTATTATAATATATTCTATTCTGTGTCCAGAATAATAAAGATGATGAAAAAAAATTCACTCATTCAAATCAGATATTTGATATGGCATGCTATCCAAAAATGATTATCAAAGTCAGTACATCTCTATCAGCTATTATTTATAAGACTAATCATGAGGCGTAATAGTTCTCTACATTCCATCACACTATATGAAGAACATCTGATAATAAAGATTGCCAACTGTGATAATAATGTAATGTTAGCTATTGAACGACAAATTCATCGTCACATTGAGAAAGGGCATAACAGAGCCGACGTAGTGTCATAGAAGATCGATTGTTTTTTTTGCCATATTTTTTAATAGCAAAAAAGTCGGAAACGAAGAACACTGCATATTTTAGAGCCGTATTTCTTTTTGTCTTTATCATTTGCTTGATGCCATTATGTATATAACCTATGTCTAATGAAGATTCTGATTATTTACATAGATATAGATTATTGGTGTTGTTTTATACTATGCAAGTAATTGGTCTGTCAAAATACCAGTGGGGAACAAAAAAGATGTTTAGTGGCAAACAATTTTGTTTCATCTGGAAGTGTTTTCATGTTAACTATTTATATAAACAAAAGAAATATAATGATAGCACTCGGATGACTTTCAAGAATAGAAATAAATCATTATAGAAAGTTTCTAGCCTATGATGAGTTATTACTCAGTTGTTGACAAGTTTTTTTCTTCTGCTCTAGAACACATTATGTTGTGTAATTTATCATCTGAACCAATTTTTCACTAGATGATAAATAGCCATAGATCGTCAATGTTCTTTCCCATCGTCAATTACGTCATATGTGCTACAACAGTATAGAAACTATCAAAAAATGATCATAGAAGAAAATTTCACTACACGCATAGGAAGTTAGAATAAACTTAAAAAATTAGCCAAACTAATGCTTTGTTTATTTCTAATGACATTCATGTAGAGGTGGATTACTAAAGGGTACATTCCTTCGTTGCATGTTTACAAATAGTAATAGTGGTTGATACGAAACTTTATCGTAGATATCTCGAGAACAATTATGCATGTGATTGAAAAACAAATTGGCAAACATATCATATTTCACTAATTTATTTTAACAGTGTTAGAACATTTGAGTTGAAAAGATAATGTTTCCTATTTTTGATTGTAAACAACAAATGTTTGAAATTTCAAAAGTACCTAGCAAACAGGAGGTACTTTTTGTTTTGATCAAAAATACGCCTAATTAAAGCAAATTAATTAATTAAAAAGAGTGACCGATAGTGCGTGGCCTGATGGTCTAATGGTATGATTCGCGCTTCGGGTGCGCGAGGTTCCGGTTTCGATCACCGGTCAGGCCCATTTATTTCCTCTATCTTTTTTTTGGATATGAACAATCAAAAACTCAACTCATCACTGGAGCACGACAGTTTCCGCGTTTCCATACATTCAAGATCACTTATGTAAATGAGAGAAAAAAATCGATAAATGGCAACGGCGGTTGAATTTTGGCATCAAAAGTCTTTTCAATCTTACTAAATGAATTGTAGAAAAGAAGTACTTCAAATGAATATTTAATATCGTTTATAGATTACCCGATGTCGCCACCAATACGCTTTTTTTTGTTATTTAAACTTTAAGATGTCAAATACATATCTGGTGATTGTACTTAATTATTAATAATAAACGTACAATATGGATAAAAATCGATTGTTTACACTATTCTTTTCATAATAAGTTTTGCTATCTGAGACGGCTAGACTGTTCTTTTACTACTGTGATTATATATTTTCCTATGAAAAAGTGAATATTAGATTATTATCGGCACTGAAACAATCAATAGCGATGTGTTACTCTATAATCTTTGAACTTTATTCAACAAATAAAATAATTAATCATTTACTATGTATATATATATTTAACTCATTGAGCATCCTCATTGACTAACATTAACAATATTATTTTGTTTATCTAAATTATGTAATAGTTCACCGTTCTATTACTCATTGACTAATACACAATAGGCGAGTTTTCTTTTGACGGAAGTATTCTCAATATTAGCTTGTTAGTGTATGCTGTCTCATATAGATAGCTCTCACTCACACCCCCAAGACTTACATGATGTCTATTGGCACAGGCTCAGTTGTTTATCTAAAATAACCAAATGAAAATTACATAACTGGTTATTTCTTTTAAACAGACATTTTATTTTTACTATTAGTATAGACTGTAGTCGAGTACAATGATATGATAGTTATCAAAAAAGCACTGTTTGTTTAATTCTACGTAATGTCTATTTATAACGTACGCTCAGTTATAATCGATTGTTCATCGATTCAATGATCTTGATTTCGAATTGGTGGATGAACATCATGAATTTTTTCGCACACAAACCTATGTTTATGAATACAGTAGTAAATGATTGTTACAGATTTACTAAAGAAATCACCAACAACTTTATCTATTTTCATTCGTTTTAGCTCCATCTCACAAAAATAAATAGTGTCGAATCTTAAATTTATTCACTAGATCAATGTCAGTCATCATCGATGATCGTAAACTTGATTCATGTGAACATAATCTACAAATAAGTTTCAATCTTGCTAATCTCTTGGCTGATACAACTAATAATTATCCATTAGAATTCTTAATGCATTCAGATGAAAATAGTTAAGTGCTCATTTTTTGTTTTGAGACAAATTTCTATGATGAAAGTGATTTTCTTCTTCTTTGTTTTTTTCATACCGATTGAATTCAACTTCCTCGAATTCTTTTAAGAATAGTTATCTTCGATCGGAAACGAACTTAGGCTTCATGTTCATTTCCAGTCGAGTGAACTGAACCTGATGACGGCGGGCATCCTTTCACTTAAAAGCGTTTCCTGTGCTTATCAAATAAGAGCGCATACAGTAATTGATTTCTCAATGGTCTTGACCTTTACCGATCGGTATTTCTCTTTGTTGTTTCTATTGTACTCATCATAATAGTAAATCTTTTTCCCATGTCTTACTAATCACACACACACCTTCATATCTTACACTGTCCCACTTCATAATTAGTTGAACAAACAAGATCAAAGAACTAATGAAAAACGAGAACATATCACAGTTTTAAATTAAAATTTTACTCCGCCTTTTTATTGTTTGATTCGAACAGATGTGTCTGTATGAAAAAGAAAACAAAGGTAAAAATAATTCCTCGAACTATACCGATTTAATCTCAATATCAATTCAACGATGTTTTCTAGTCAACTTTCATGTCGAAACTGAACTTCTTCTAGGACATGAACATTATAGTATATAGTTATATATCCACTTATTTATTTATTCGATCAGTGAAAGATGAGCAACATGCGATGGACAAAAGAATGTTTTCTACAATGTAAATTTAACAGCGTGTTATAAACGTGATGAAAACGATTATTTTATTTTGTTAGTATATTTGCTATGAACGATGTCTATGTCACTCATCAGGTAGATGATGATTATACGACACGTGAAGAAAGAAGAAAAAAAAAGAATGCAAGTAGCCAATGAGTATCAACCTGTCCCATTTTTTTTTCGTTCGTTCGTTCACTCCTATTTAAACATATAAAATTTTTATCATTCACATTCACTCTAGATATATTCACACTTCGACCTGTCTTCTTCGTTTTGTTATTATTGTGCTTCTTTGTTTCGGAATGACACGAACTTCGGCAACTAAAACAAACATGACAAAAATGGAATTAAAAAAGTTAAAATCCATTTTACCAACATTAAAACAAAAACCAACATCAACACCGATGGAAATTGTTCTCGAAACAATTCGTTACATTCGACAATTAGAAGATCAATTAATAGATCGATTTCAACTCGATCCATCGAATTCAACTTCGCAATCCTCACTGTCCGATGTATCGACTTTGTCGAATGATTCTTCTTTATTATCAATATCAACTCCATTACAAGATATTGGAAATAGTAACTAAATATTATTTAATACAGTTTGTTTTTTATGTCTCGATGTATATACGTTTTGTTTTTCGAATACATTCATCTTGAAAAACATATTCTTCCCATTTTTATTTATTTTTTTGATCTATCATTTGATTATGGGTGGGAAGAAAAAAGTCCTTTGAAGAATGCGACAGTTACATAAAAAAAAAGTCCATATCTGATTGTTCACGTAGATGAAGGTAATCATTGTCACCTTATGTTGAGTCGTATCTTGTTTTAGATTTCGTTTCTTATGTGAATAAATTTGAAACAATCTGTTGATATACATAATCTTCAAACGAACAATAGGAAATAGTTACCGATCGAAATCAATAAAAAGAAGAAGAAAAAAAACTTCTTTTTATCATTATAAAGAATCCGTCTAAGAGCGGAACAAATATTCTCCTATTCAATGAGTTCACGGTGATAATGTTTATGACACTTTACTATAAAGAAAGAATAATAACCATTTCGCTTGATTTATACAATAGATCGCTACTTTCCCACCGTTTCGCTCTAATTCATATATGTTTGAACAGCATGAAACTTGTATACATTCAGGTGCTAATCATCATCATTATAATATATGGGTGTGTGTGTGTGAGTGTATTGTATATACCAGCATATTTCTCTATTCTTTTCGCTTAAGTCGCATACTATATCATGAGCTTTTCTATTCAAAAGACAAGAGAGATTGATTATTCTCCCATTCTCAAAATGTATGAATACTTGAGAATGACAAAAAAATGAGTAATTTGGAATTGATATTCGAAGTTGAATTCACCAGTTATGATAATGATATTCGGAAGGACAAGGAGGAGGAGAACAACGAAAATTCCAATAAAGTTCATACCTGATGGTATGCAGTAAACGAAAAATGAACGGATGCACTTATTCGAAATGACAATCTACTTGAACATGTAAATCGATGAAAAAAGGTCATCGTTTAATTACTTTTTAGCATGAAAATCATCGTTAAATAGGTTTTCTTTTTATCAACATATGATTATTAGCATAGTTTAAACCTTTTCATTTGTCATGAATTATAGCAGAAAGTATATAACTTATCAGGGATGTGACAAGGGTCATGTGAAAGTAAAAATCGACTGAAAGATTTGTCGCAAAAAAATTGATTAAATGACCTTTTGAAAGCTATTTGCATCCCACTCAGAGGACACTCGTTTATTATTCCTGATAAACTATTGATATGAACGTAATTATAGCGTATTGATCTTAGTAATGAGTTCCGTCGAATAAGACACCATTAAATAATGTTCACACGAGCAAACAGAAAAAGAGACATTAAATATTTTTGACACTTGCCATATGATATTTTCAAAACTATTTATGATTTCCTTAATATATATATATATATATATATATATATTAATATTAGACAATTTTCAACTATGAAAGACATTTATCGATTGTAAACAGTAGTCCTATCAAAAGAAATTTACTGTAATAAATTTTCAATATGATATTTGTGCTTAGTTGAGGGCCATTTTGATTGTTCATTTTTGTCAACAAATTTTTTTATTGATGAATCGCTTTTAAAATGTTGTTCATTATTCAATGTACAGGAAGAAATTTGTGTTATTATTGGTGTTTGATGACGTATCACATCGGATATTGTTGGTTGATTTGCATTTTTTGATACGATCAAATGTGTATTGTCATTTGTACTTGAACATTCACTTGAATTATCGTCATGCACAGCCACTGTAGCAGTTTTTACGGTTTGATCAATCAGTATTTTTTGTTTCTTACGATATTTTGCTCGACGATTTTTAAACCATACCTAAATATGAAGATAATCTTGAATTTAGTTCATTCATAAATGTTTTACTTGTACTCGAGCTTCAGGCAAATTCGTATAGAGAGCAAGTTTTTCTCTCATGACAATATCCGGATAATGTGTTTTAACGAAACATCTTTCTAATGTTTGTAATTGTTGACTTGTAAAAGCTGTACGTGAACGACGTTGTTTACGTGGATATCGAGAATCGAGAAGAAATTCTACTATTGATTTAAATTCATACGAACAAAAACAACAACAACAAGCAAATCTTTACCTGTAAATCGATCCGGTGATCCATGAAAAAATGGCGTGACACTAGCACTTACAGATGACATCAATGGATTGACAAAAGATGATAGTGACGTATAATAGATGGATGCATATGGATGCATCTTTTTTCAAAATTACAAAATGATCTTCACCTTCTATGCGAATGTGTTTTACTTTTTTTTTGTTGTTTTGCTCTTCTTATTCTTTATTTCATAAATCCGTTGTGCAATTAAAATCATTCGATAACATTTTCTCGGATTTAGATGATACGTCGGACGTGCTGTCATTTAGCTCTTTTCATTCATCTAAATTGCTTTTTTTTGCAATCATCAACTGATGATCCTGTTTTGAACCTAAATGATGAACAATGACAAAAACACATACACGATTGATTGTGTTGTCATTGTTGCATCATTGAGTTCTTAACCAATAGAAGAAGCTCAATTTCTTCTTCATGTTAAAAGAAAGAAGTTACATGCACTCTATTATTGATAATCCTTAAGCGCCATTTGACACGTTTTATCAACAAAGAGCTAAAAAAAATTGCTTTGACTTATTGAGATAAAGTAACTAAAAAAAACGAAGAATACAGTAAAGCGAATGATAGAGAAGATTAACACTCAAAGATGTTTTTTCTTCATGATGAATTAAGAGTACCAATTCGATTAAACACGCAGATAGTTAACCTAATAGATCAATACAAAAACATTTAAAAACATTCTTCTCCTTCTGATTAGAAGTATTAAATCATTTAAAAGTCATTCATGATAATTGACATGTACGAAAGCGATTCGTTTTTTTCTTGACAATCTACTAAGCCAAACTATAGGTCATCATAGAATATCATATTCATATCAATCTCAGATTGGCCTATATAAATCTTGTATATTAATGCATCCCTCAATGATAGATGATAATAGCTGGGAATCATGGCAGTGCAAATGTTGTTTTAAAGAATTTCATCTTAATAAAGGATACAGGTGAATAAAACTATTTTTCTATTTGTTTGATGCTTTTCAGAGAGATTACTTTGCAAGAGATCTAAGTCGACGTCCCGATGACAGTATTCAATATTGTTATAGAATATTACTGGGAATTTGCATCGAATACACAAGAAGTTTTATCTTTTGTTATCTGCGTTATTTTATTGAACATTAGTATTGTTTTTTACGCAAATAATCTGTATTTTTTCAAAAAAAAGGAAAATGTGCTTGACATAAGCTCGTGTAACATCAATTTACTATTGATTTACTTTCATAATTTTATGTTAATAGATTTGATCTTGAGTATACGTTTAAAAAGAGAAAAAATAAACATCAATCGTTTATTTATTATTAGATGTTCGATCCATCATCTGAATTTGTGGTTGGTGGTGGTGGCGGCGACGATGATGGAGCATCTGTATCTTGTTTCTTCTTTTTGTTTTTTTGCTGCTGAGAATTCGTACCACTGCATTTTAAACAGTCATTCATTAATTTTAAATGACGCGTTATCGAATCCAATTGACTATCATTACCAAACAAGCCAAGACATGTGATTGATCCACTAGCGATTTCAGTTCGACCAGCATCACGAATAATCGATGTGACTACAGCTTTATTTACGGAGACACGCTGTTGAATATCGAGTAATTCTTCAGTTGAATCACCGCGAACAACAATTTTCTTTTGTCCACTAATACGCCAAAAATTTATAGCCATCAGACGCTGATCAAGAATTTTTTGATATAAATCAACAGCAGAATGTGCGACTTGCGCTGCCATTTTGCCCGAACTCATAGAAAGTGAACCATTCACAATAAACAACATTTTATAGCTCATCATGTTTTCGTCAGTAGTATCGCTATCGGTTGGTATTACATTCTGAAGCAAAAATAAATTCCATCTACAATTAATTTTGATTAATCATATTTTAAGTTAGAAAAGCATTAAACGAAACAAAAAGTGTATCGATAATTGTTGATAACTAGATTAAATAAGAATTAGAATTGAAATATACTACCTACCGATTCATAGGAAATTTGAGTAGTCTGTTCTATACTAGCTCCACTAGTTGATATCATGGATTCTGCAGAAAAAGTAGGTGTTTCACCAAAAACAACAGCCAAAGCATCTTCCAAACTTCGATTATTAACAATTTTTAACGCCTGCAATTGAAAGTTTTTCCTGACGAAAATAATAAACTAGCAAAACACAAGAACCTGTCTAGCAGTTTCTTGATGAATACCCATTTCCATTAAACTCTTGAGAAATTCTCCATTGACATCATCATATGAATAAGAAGACGCGGCGGCGGCAGCTGCTGCTGCTGCTGCTGCTGGTGGAGGACCTCCTTCTGCCATAATGATGATCAATTAAATCTAAAATAAGAATAGAATCTTTCATTGGTTTACTTAAATAGCTCGTTCTTGCTTAAATATGATGCAATAGTATCTCTCTTTTTTCCCTGCATGACGTCATCGTTCTATGCAATAGAATGAAAATAGTTTTTTTTTGCTTTATCAAGTTATTATTAAAATTTGAGTACTTATAAATAGACAAACACGCATACTAAGTCAACATAGTGTAAAAAACACAAACGAGAATAGCAACCCACAACGTTCGGACTTTCATATGTGCACGATAAAATATGGAATGATGATGAATATTAAGCAGAAAAAAAAACAAAAAGAAAGACGGAGAACAAAGCAATCACATATTTTGTAGAGGTTCAGATCTTTTAGCTTAAAAAAGAAACAAAATTGTATTCATTTGGGTGGAACTGCCGTAGATCGGTACCGAGCCGATTTCGGTTTATCAACATTCAATGATGGACGTGGGATTTTTGACTGAAATGCCGTTGTACTTGATGGTACAGTAGTAGTAGAGGGAGGGGGAGGAGCAACAGCAGTAGTAGTAGTTGTATTCAATGCTGGTGGAGGTGATGGTGCCACAACAACCGATGGTGAAATACCTCGTCGTATATTATTTGTTCGATTTCCATGATTTAATTTCGGACTTGAAACAATAACTGGTTTATTAGTTGTTGCTGCAGCTGATGTATTAGCAAATGCATTCGATAGACGTGGTCGACGTGCTACTAGTGCTGCTGACGATGACGGTTGTGTTCGTACAGTTTGCGGTGTCGAAGATGGCAATCTTGCAGTGACCGCAGAAGATGTTTTCCGTTGTGGTTGCGTTGTATTTGTTCTTGTAAAAATAGAATTTAATTTACGCGATAATGTCGATCGTAATGTATCGGCTGGTTGAGCATTCGCATGTGTCGTGGTGGTGGCAGTAGCAGCAATAGCAGGAGCAATAGTTCTAGCCGTAGTATTTGGCTGAACGATAGGTTGAGTTAAATTTTTTGTTGTACGTTTCGATAATGTCATAAGCCAATCCCTTCCACTGTTTATAGTTGAATGCATACTGATCGTAGACGTAGTTAACGGGTCGTCAATATTTACTGGAATAGGGTCAGGTTTATAAACTAAACGGAATGCAAGGGGAGAAAGTTTTTCTAATTGGCCCATGATACGATCAAATAAATTAAATGTAACTATAGTATATGCCAAAATCAGTGCATCCGGAAGTTGATAATAACGTTGAAGAACTTCTTTTTGTTTCATAAAATGATAAAGCCAATTGATGAGTTCGTTTTTACTAGAATACAAATCGAAGAATAATAAAAAGAAGTTTTACATCGATATTACTTTAGTAATGCAAAGATAAATGCTTGAAATTTGTAAGGCCAATACAATGAAGCATTTTGAGCATTTTGTTTTGCATCATAAAATACTTGAAGAGCTGGTCCTAGAGAAAGAAAGAAAAATTGAAAGTTCGACTTAAATATTTGTTCAGTTTTAGTTCACCATGTTCAAGAGATGTTTCGATTATTTTCCATAGATTCATTTGTTTAACTACTGGAAGATCTTTTCGTTGTGGTTTGAGACCATGTTCAAGAATATTTTGAAGAATTGTACATAAATCATTTTTAAGTAATGCATCCAATCGACTATTATTATCATTGGAAAGAAAAAAAGCCTACGAAAAATAAAATTCAATTAGAAATTGATTTTAATAAAAAAATTATATTTTTACTTTTTCCGATCGTTTTATTTCAAATACACCTTTTACAACGATACCAATTCTTTCTAAAAGACCTAAATTAAAAACAAAAGTTATTTTACAATTAACGAGCTGAATTTTAAATCTTTTACCATCAAGCATTGGATCATTTGTTGGTATTAATGTTACGGTTGATGCATTCATTATTGTTGACTGTTCAGGCATTTTATTTTCTTTGTCCTTTGAAGATATAATTTTTGCTACTGCTGGATTAGACTCATTAGTATTGGAGATCACTGGAGGTAGTACTGGAGATTCATCGACTTTTGGTATTATATTCACATGAGTTTTTTCCATAATAGCTTGATCATCTTCATCGTTGTTGTCGTCGTCTTGGTCTGGAACAAGAGTATCAGTATCTTGGAAACGAAATTCATTTGGTGGACTTTCCGTAAATGAATGTAAATGATGAATACGATCGACAACAATAATATCAGCTGAAACAGAACAAGGATTTCTATTTTCAATCAAGTCAATTTCAAGAACATACTTTGACATCGTCGCATTTCACCATAACGTAATGTTGGTTTTTTTTTTAGATTTTCTTGATTTCCGTGTAGTGCTATAGCAAGATGATCATTATTAGGTATATTTTCATCGTCGAATGTTTCGATTTCTGGCGATGGATCAAATTTAATGGCTGGATTACATGGTTCAACAAGTTGTTTTGCAATATTGTCTGAAAAGCTAACACTTTTTTTCGTTTGATTTTGTTGTTGCAATGATGTTAGATCATAATCAGAACGATTTTCACGGGATAAATCTTGCATAACATAGGCATTTATATTATTTGATGAACCAGCCGTATGAGTATCTAGTGGCCACTGGTTATCAGGTGGATTTCCTGAAACATCTGCTTCAGAACAACGACGTTTTGATGTAGGAGATATTGAATCCTTAAAAAAACAAATATCTGGATATGCATGCGTATGAAACTCGTAAAATCTTTTTACTCTATCATCTTTTGACTGAGCAACAGTTAATGTAGCTGCCGGTGAAGCTCTTTCTTGTAACATTGCTTGAATATCACATGAATTTGCTCGCGGTGCATATTTAAGACAAGGTTTGAGAGTTCCTGTCTGTTGTTGTTGTTGACGTCCTCTAGGAAACGATGAAGACGGTGGTAATTTCATTTTAATAATTGTTGGTGTTTCATTTGATCCATTAATGACTGCCGATGCGGGCACAGCAGCAAATGTTTTACGTAATTGTGGACTATAGAAAACGCCTAAAGGTTCCGTTGAATGTTTACTGTTTTTATAGCGTTTTATTGATTTAAGTGTACGTGGTCGTTCATTGTCTTGCTTTTGTTGTTGAGTTAATACTGGAGATGTTACCATTTGAGCAGTATTGACAGAAGGTGAAGGACTAGGTGGAATGGTTGTTGGTGGTAATGGTGATGTTGTACGAGATCGAGGTAATTCTTTTGAGTATTGAGAAATAAAGGCAAGATCAGGCAGAGATTTATGAATAGCCGATGATGAAATCGGCGCAGTTGATGGACGCGAAGGAACAGCAAGATGATGAGGTGAATTTAGACCAGTATGTGTTTGGAGATAGTTCATAGTTGGTGTAGGTTGAAAACGACTGTTCATTTGACTGTTTGATGAAGAATCTACTGAAATAGATGTTTGTATGGCTTGATCAGTACCAGAATTTGTTTGTGATGATGACCTTTCAATTTGAGTGTGCTTTTTTGGATAGGATCCTTTGGATTTTTCTGTTAACATTTTTTCACCTGATATTGTCATGCTATCAGTATTCGTCGGAACTATTGAGTCATTTTGTTGTCGATAATATTGAAATGCACTACGTGGCGAAGATGATGCAGCCATTTGTGATTTTTGTTGAAAGATTTTATAAAGACTCAATGGAGATGGTGGTCGAGTTTCTTTAGGTTCAATGCTTGGTGTTGTTCGTTGACTCTCTTTCATACGTCTCCATGATGCTGATGACGAAGACGATGTTGTTGAAGAATTTGGGGAAGAAGTATTATTATTATTATTATTATTATTATTATTATTGGTATTATTAACTAATTGTTGTTGGGGAGAGAATGATGATGGATGAGATTGCGAACGAACAAAAGTTACTGCTTGATCTCTTGTTGCAGGTACTGGTGTTTTATTAGTTCGAATTTCAACAGACTGATCTAATGTATTGAATGATGAACGCATCGACCAATCATTCATATTATTGGCTGCATTTGGAGTAACACCATCATCAGAATAGGTTGAGCTTGACTGAGAACTGAAAAACAAAACAAACATATCTTGTCTTTCAAAAAGTCTGTTTTTTTTTTCAAATTAAAATTTACTCTGTTGTTCGATTTTCAGGAGTTTGTTGTTGATGATGATGGTGATGATGATGATGATGATGATGATGTCGATGATGTTGCTTATGTTTATGAGGTTTACCTGTCTTCGAATCGTTTTGCTGTTGTTTATCAGTGCTAAATGTTAAACGATAATTAGCTCGTGTATCATATTGATCGTCCCATGTAAAACCAACTTCTTGATCATTGTAAATACTTTGATCATTGACTGGTGGTGTCTGTTGTTTTTTCGTATCATCATTTTCAAATAGATCACGTTGATTAAAAAGACTATCCATAGATACATTTTCATCGTTAAAACCAGTATTTTGCAATGAAATACTTTTAATAAGAAAATTATCATCGGGTGTATCATCCATAGCCATTGTATTCGATGTAACAACTGAAAATGACTTTGTTATAAGTTCTTGTCGATTACGATCACTTAAGATTTCATCGAAATTATCTAAATCTAATGTATGTTTTTCAAGATTTTTTATAAGTTGTTCAACATTTTCCAAATGGGCAGACGAGGTAAGTAACAGAGGATTAATCGATGAATCATTCATATTTGCGGTTTAATTATTGCTTTTGGTTTGTTTTTATAATCTGATAATTGTTCGGAATGGCAAACTGGAATGGCATGAGAACAGACGAGACCACAGGTCTAAAGCATAAACAAAAATACAGTAATCAAAATAATATTCATTTCTATGAGACGAGTAAAAAAATTAATTCTTTATTCAGACACATTGACAGAACACGAAAGAACATATAAATCATTTATATTCTTTGGAATAAAAAATAATACGCACATCAAAATTGTCAAATACATTAGAATACTTTTCAAAAAGAAAAAAAAACGGGCACATGCAGAAATTTTATGCCAGATCAATTAGATTCGATTCATTCGCCTCTGACAACGAAATAGAAGGATATATTGATGGTGTTAAACGAGCAATATCTGTCGATGGTGTTTTATTGACTTCTATTGAATGATTAAGTGGATCAAATTGTTGAATAAGTTCGTTGATTTCATTAGATTCGTCATTAGTTGGATCAAATGTTTGAAGTTCATTTTGTGAGTCGTTCATTTTTGAATTTATTTTTGGCGATATATGAGCAATTTCAGAAACGACTATTTTTTTATTTACATTTGATTCGGTAGGAAGAAGCGATGACGAATTCTAAGCAAAAGACAATTAGAAAAGAAATAAATGAGAATATGATCTTACTTTATCAGTATTGAAATCGATTAATAGATAAGTGTCATCTGAATCAAATTTCGAATTTGAAGAATGTAATAATACCGTTGATGAGCTTGACTAGAAGAATATGAAATTGAAAAATTATGATGAAACTAGTTTTTGTTTTATTTAATATTACCTGTTGAACGGTTTGATGATTTGAAGCTACCTAAATAAAATAAAAAATAGTTCGTTTTATTAGTTTAAAGGTACATTAACAAGAACTTACATTCGATGATGTGACATTTGTTATTGTCGATAAACTCGGATTTACTACATTATCATCCGATTTATTTATCTGTATAAATGTTGATACAATGTTTAGTTCTATTTTTTATGAGAACTTACTATAGTTTGTACTTTTTCAGTTTTAGTTGGGTCAATACGTGAATGGTTCGTCTAAAGAAAATATATCATTTTGATTTATTGAAGTATGAAGATTGAGTAACACAAATGAATCAGACAACAAAACATTTCGTTAATCCTTTATTTATTTTCGAGATTTTTCATAGCAGTGTTATATTTGAACAAAATGTTGACATATAAAATTGTAGCTTACATTTTCGAGATTTTTGTACACTTGTTTGTTAACATTGGGCTAAAATAAAAACCAAATGAGTAGTCATCGATATTGCTGTTTTTTCATAATTAAAGACGATCGATTACGACACGTCACATAAGAATAGACTGAAAATGATACCGTCATCGTCCTTTACAACTACGAAAATCCACAAATATCGTATTTCTTCTAAGCTCCCTTCCTTTGTAGTAATTTGTCAATCTCTATAGAATTGTTTTCCCTTCAAATAAGTACCAGTAAGATATAAGACTTGTACAGTTTTCGAGAACTATCACATTGAATTTTGCCTTTGATGATGATCAGTCAATAGATACGAAATCAAAATTATTCAAGGGCAATCGATCACACTGAGTCAAATTTCAACGGTTTCAGAAAGACATAAAACCATTTCTTGAGTTTTGCTTGTATACCATGAGGAGTTAGTAGCTTTAAAATCTCGTTTCCCTTCACTTAGGTCTCTTTGACATTCATAGTAAAACTCCACTCAGCATAATAAGTTACTATGGACTTGAGTTCTTGTGCAGTAGTACTTCAAGGTCATTAGAACAACAGAAAAATCTCTGCAAAATTTTCAAATCTCGTAGTTAAGATGTCTGAGTGAAACGAACAGCAGTTATAGCTCTAATCATAATGCAACGTAATAGTTTTAAAAACAAGTCCGGTTTCAAAACCTCCCTTACATACTCACCTGATTGGTGCATTGCTAGACCAAACAATGTCTAGGTGATTTTTAAGTCCTTCAAGTACTGTTTTGAATCAATTTTATTTTTTTTATACGACTTACTTTTTTCAATTGATGAATTTGTTCGAAACGTTTTAGTTCAATATCGAATTCATCTAAATGATCGTCATGTTGATGTTCGACATACGTTCGATACCGTGAAAACTTAAAATGACAAGAATGAAATACATTGATGTTTTCTTTTCATTATTACTTGTTCAAACATTTGTGTATTTACAATCGAAGTCATAAATGTTTGTAACTCAGATCTATGATATTGTTTCAAATAAACACCTCTGTCAAAATCTAATGTATCATTTTTTATTACAAATCCACTTGAATAATTTCCTATACAAAACAAAGAAGTAAAATCTTTAATCAATCAAATATATCTTACTTACCAAAAATAAATACCATAGCTCGAAGAAAAATTCTAGCTAAATGATCTTCACTGTGTTCTGATGATTGTTGAATATCTTTTTTCATGCTACGTATTAAATGCTTAGGAAATAAACTCAGATCGTCATATTGAGATCGAATTGTTCTATCATCAATATTTACTATTATTACATCCCCTAAGTCATTTTTGTTCATTTTCGAATAAATACTTGAATGCATTCCAATAATATATGGTGCTGTACATTGTGCCGTCCATGTCATAGACTCGGGTAGAATCGGTAAAAAAATACTTTGCCTGAATCAAAACAGAAAATTTAAAAAAATACTCTTTTTTTTCTGAAATAAATTTGAGTCCTACCAATGCATGGGATTGATTAAATGTAAACAACCACAAGCACATGCTAAAAAAATAAGGCTTATAAAAATAGTTCCCTTTTTTCTCTTGATTAAGTATTAAACAAACCAGTTAAATGAAAGAGTTTTGATGAAATAAATAAGATTCTGCGTTCGAAAATCAAATGTGCAAAAAGACGTAAGATAAGATCGGGACCCAATCGAGACAACATAATTGTAAAATTACTCTAAATAGTAAAACTATTTTAATTAATTTGGCTAGTCTAAAAACACATACATTAGATAGCATTGAAGGAAGTTTACGTTGATCAGGACGAGAATAACTATAAAGCTAGATAATTTCAATATAGGTAAAAAATGTTTAACGAAAATTTGTGCATACTTGTGAATTATTGTTTATTTCAATCATTTCTTTGCCATCATTTTTATAAAAATCTTCAATGGATGTAACTTTATAATTATATAGTGACAATAGAAACGCTTCGACTTCTGCAGGCTTAAAGAAAAACAACAGATATAATCACAGTTATAAGCATGATTATTAAAAACTAACCGATTTCGTATTAATTATTTGCGAAAGATCATTGAGTATATTACAGAATGTTTCAAACCATGGATAATAACTATGAAAAGAAAAACATAAATAAAATATGGCTGGTCTCAAGGGAATTCTTAAATATTTATACCTGATTATACATAAACGCGTAGGCTCTCGATTCGATCGACGACAATATCCAAAACGAAATATTAAACTTGTTGAATCAAGAACAACAAATGTGAAATATTCACTTTGATCATCTCTAAGAAAGAGAATCAAATTATCTTTGATTTTTGAGTCTTTTTTTTTAAAATAAAATGTTAAGTTTCATACAATGAAATTCGACATGGATATACAAAATTAGCTGCTGTTTTTAGTATTTGATCTGAGAAATCATCGGGATACTGAATTAATATTGCAGGTGCTAAAATAATTTTTTTTAATTTTAATTGTATATATTAAATTAGCAAAAAAGACCTACGTTCATTGTTAATCGGTTGATGAATTTCAAGGAAAACTTCAAAAAGATGTTCTGGTGATTGTCTGAATAAAGAGGCAAAATAAGAACAACATAATGATTCAATTTTTATTACTTAATACGCGATTCTATTTCTTTTGTTACTGATCCAGAAGCCATCCACACAAAAAAATTACATGTACTAAAGTGATCAACTATCACTAGTTCAGGTATATTTTTTTACCTGTTGACGTTTAATTTCCGTGATAAGTCACATACCGTTCTCAAACTAAACAAACATTTTCATTGGCCAATTGATATAAACCAATAAAAAAATAGTCTGAAGACGCTTGAATAGAAAAAATACTGATGAAAATAAAATAGTTTTCTAAATTTAAAAACGTGGCTTTTTTGAATATTGTGCAATTTTTTTTTCTAGACGGAATTATGATTAATCATTAGAGAGAATGAGTAATGGCGAACACCTGTTGTACGCAGTAGAATAATAGAAAATCTGCTGCTCATTTGGTGCCGCTCTACTACTATGTAGTTTATGCAAGTGTACTCACAATCATAATAGTTCTTTCTTTCTTAGAATGAGAAAAGTAACGCTAGAAAATGTTTGAAATCAATTATTAATATCGGGACCTTTTAAATTTTATGATACTATTACTGAATGTCAAACCTATTGGTTTTGTTTCGATATATACATTTCACGAAAATTAAACCACCATTTACAAATAAATATGGTTAAAGAGAAAAGGAGATTATAACAAGAAATCCGCTGAGTCGTAGCATTTTATTAAAGCGTAATCAATTTATTCATCTAGTCGAGAGTAGGATAATGTTCTTATTACTTTTAAATTGATACAATAGTTTTTTTTTTGAAAAACTCGTTTCAAACAGTGTTTGAACAGAATCAAGTTTTTCTATCATTTTGTTTGATTGTAATAATTTCTTTGCTAGAAGTTACATCGGTCTAATTTACCACTTCGACAAAATAGTTCCACATGCGATTGTAAGAAATTGAAGCATAATATTATCTCTAGATATTTAGACTGTGTTTACAACATGAGTTTTCACAAACAATCGAATCAAATCAAAAATGAATTCATTGGTAAAGAGGAAATATTTCACGTTATTTTTTCATGCGTATTACATCTTTCAAGAGAATTTAAATGTAAAATAAGTGATCATTCTATCAAATCATTAAAATTTATTGCAGTGCTTACGCATACTATAGGAACTCGACCAGGAAAATGGTGATACTCTAAACATTGTTTATAATCATGAATAAAGAACTGAAGTTCTTAACAAAAACAATCTATTCTCTCCATACACTGTAAAAAAAGGGAATAATAATGAATGCTTGTGCTTAATTTATTTTCTATAAACCTTTGAAGAGTTTATGCGCACTCCATGTACCCTATGAAGGATATATGAAACTGTTTTAGTGGTTTTGTATTTCATAATTTTATTCAGTGTTTATTAATAAACGGATAGGTGTAGATTAAAATACGTATTTCCAAAATCAGTTTATTATCCAACAATCAGGGGTAGATTATTATCCCATGTGTTTCATTAGGATGAAACTGTGGCGCAGTGGCGTCGCAATTGGTACAAAAGATGACAGATTAGGTTTTCATGTTATTTGTATTTTTATTGTGAGTTTAAGAAATTTTTTGAACACAAAATAAAAAACTTAAAACTATAAACTTCAAATTTTTATAAAAAATAAAAAACAATTTTTAAATTGAAAATTTTCACAATAAAATGTAATTGAAAAATTAAAGCCTAAAAAAATTTCAAAATTTACTAAATTAAAAGTTAAAAAAAAAATTTAATTTTAAAAATTAAGGAAAATTAAAAAATTAGTGTCTAAAAAAATTTAATAAATAAGAGAAAAAAATTAAATTAGAAAAATTGGCAAAACTTAAAAGATTTAAATCTAGAAATTAAAAAAAAATTAGAAATATGCATTCTAGTGGTTATAGTAGAATGACTTATGAACGAAAATGTGACGAGCACTGCTATTTACACTGATTTTCTGTGACTAAGTTTTATTGTTAGAGTGTAGCCAATTACAAATAAGGAGGAATAATTTATAATTCGTCAATTATACCTACAAAGGATCGTAGGATGCGATCACTAGGGCGTAGTTACGTTGATCTGCGTCACAGTAAGCGCAGTTTCTTATAGAAATCTTCACTACGATCAATGCGCCATAGTTACGCGTAACTGCGACGCAAAATTAGCTCTGCGCGTAACTGCGGCACAGTTGATAAAAAAAAAGAGACGACATGGGATATGATTCATGCAAAACAAATCTTATTCTACAATCAATGGTTGATTATTCTCCACTTTCAGAAGAAGCATTTATTATAATACCGTTGAGGGTAAATCAATGTACGATGTCACAAAAAGGGTTGATTATTCTACGATCAATGGTTGATTATTCTCCACTTTCAGAAAAAGCGTTTACTACAATACCGTTGATGGCAGACCAGTAGACGATGCCATCAAAAGGGTTGATTATTCTTCGTTTTCAGTAGAAGAGTTTATCATAATACCTGTAAGGGTAGATTATGATACGACATCGTAAAAAGATTCATTGTTATATGATCGAGGGTATACTGGTGTAAACTATAGGAATCACTTGTATAATAAGTTTCCTCTGTACTTGCGAAGAACGCATCGACTTTTAAAACGGTTATTGAGATTCCGTTAATTCTTCAAGAATTACGAACCAAAAAATATTTATTGCATCAATAGTGCATTATAATGAGAAAATTTTATGATCAGTATTTCTAGTTTTAGTATTTCATGTTTCCATCAGTGCTTATATTACACGCATTTTAGCAGTGTAATTTACATTTTTAACGCAACGGTTCACTATTTTGGAACATAGAAAAATTCTGAAATTATCAATAGAAACGTTACAATCTTACAGTTTGATTGAAAATATGCAGCTATACCTGTTAAGATATACTAGTAAACAAGGATAAGTTCTGGTTTCAAAAGGTCTTGTTTTGAGGCATGGTATTCGATTCTTTCATAGAAGTTGTGTAAAGTGAGTGACAAGATTATTCTGATTCAAAGTCGCTGGAAAATTAGCTGTTCAACAATTCTACAGCTGTTGTAATGTCACGAATCGATGTGACGATGAAAATTAATAAAATATAGCTCATTAATTCTTTGCAATATATGAAGTAAACAATCGAATCGTTGGCCATGCATCAGACAACGCCAGTTCAATTCTTAAAGAGCGATTCCAATAGCTAGTATCATATGCTCTCTGATAATTTGCAATAAGATTTGTAAAACTAATGTGAGTCATTATCGCTTTAGATCGAATAATGATTGTATGAAAAAAAGTTCAATAAGAATTCAGATTCGGCACTAATAACTAAAGTGTCTGAAACCTAATTTCTGTTTCCTCGATGCAAAATCTGTTTTTTTAATGAATATCATGAAGTAAACTCTCAAAAACTGATAAAATAAGGATCACTTTATCGTAGGAATCGCTTTCTTTAACGTTCGCTTCAGATATTTTTGAGAACGAAAATTCATTTTAAGATCAAAATTATTTTAAGAATATCGAAAAAGAAGTAAGTTGAGAGGAAAGCATGCGACGAATCATCGACACTATGCTCAGTGAAATCCAGGATTCGTCCACGTTTCAGCTGAAGTTAAAGACTTCATCAAAATAGTTTCTTTCACCTGATCGCATTATTGTTGTTCTTAAGCGAAATATTTTATTTCGATACTTGCAACATGCAACTAGAATCCTAAATTTATGATTATCAGACTTAGTAAGTCAATATGTTTGCTTCTAAGCCTAGTATTTATTAGGAGCCCGCTATAGTTTTTCTTCCATTACTAAGGACTTACGAATCAGTATACAGATTTTGTAAGGTTTTTATTGTTAGAAAATTTCGAGATAATTAAAATGATGCCATCTAGCAATAGTAGTCAATAGTCTATTTCTTTGCATCTGATCTAGTTAAGATAGTGAATTATTGAAATAATTTAATATTCAATCAAAAGCATTCTCTAGGATTATGGTGATAATCACGAAACAAATTTTTCTCAGCAATGAATTCTATTATGATTACTTGAGAACTAAAAACAATGTAATGATTTTTTGAACGAGGAATTTTAAGATTGCTTGTTCCTTTTCCGTTAAATTTTTATTTTTCGTGTACTCGACTCGTGCTTCGCACCGCATTTCGTATACAAGTGAAACTCGAATACCATCTAGTTTTCTAGATAAGGTGTATATCTTCATCTGATTATCTTATTCTTCTACATGCAGAAGCAAGTCTTCGAAAAGTAGAATGAAAAGCTACTCGTTCGCAGCGAACTCCTTCGCGTCAATCCTTTCTTTAACCATTTGAAAGTTAAGTATGCTGTTTTATTTTATTTCGTTTTTTTTTGCTATTTAAGAAAATTATCTGATATAATGCTTCCTGCAGGGAGCGATTTTTCTTTATTTAATAATTTTATTTATCTAGAGAAGCAAGCGGAACTTTCGCAATTTCTACGAACAGGTGCTCATTGAAAATCAATTGTTATACGTCGTTGGTTTCATCTAATTTCTACAGGTATGAAGTTTCTTTCATATCGAGAAAAAATTCTGAACGATTTGTTTTTAGATGAAATGATTCATCTTCATCTGATCATTTTTTTCCTCTAAATAATCAAGTGGACTTCTAAAAAGTAGTACAAACAGAGGCTCATTTTTAACCAAATGTTTATCACATCAATGTTGTCTCTGAGAGAATGAAAGTTAAGTATGACGGTTCACTTAATTTCGTTTCTTCTATGTCGAGAAAATTATGCGAGCGATTATTTTCTATACAAAAAGATTTGATTTTACATAAACGTTTTCTTTATCTAGATAAAAATGAAAAGCTTTCAAAATTACTGCGAACAACTGCTGGTGATTCTCAATGAATTGGGCCATCTCTATCATTTCAATAATCCACCGCAAAGTAAATTACATTTTTTTATCTCATCCTGTTGTGTCATATCGAGTAAATTATTGGAACGATTTTTGTGAAACACGATCTGAAAGGAGTGTTGAAATATATAGGGTACAAATTTGAACCCAGGCCCCCCCCCCCCCCCCCACGGGCCGCACAATT